TGCAGGTATGGTTGTGTTGTCAACATCTTCGTAAATATCATATGCCATCTGTTTTTTGTTTTCCTTTCAACTTTTTGTGTTTGTTGTAAAGTTTAGAATATTTCGACTCTAAGTCAATGAGATGTTCTATAATGAACTGTTTGTCAGTGAAGTAAACTTTTCCATCTGTTGTCTCGAAAGCTCCTTCAGACTTCAATATTTTATTTGTGAGGGTCTGTTTTCTTTTTTGAGATACTAGCCGTTCCATTTCTATGAAAAGTGACTTTTATAGTTAGGTTTGTATTTCCAGACCTGGCACTTTCTATTATTGAATTTTTCTCTTCATCTGTAAGTTCTTTGACAGGTTTTGACAATGGTTCTGAACTTTTTGTTTGTGGTGTCAAATCTACCGTTTCAACTTCTTCGGTCATTTCATCTCAGTAAAAAATTTTAGTTTGGTTTGTTTTCAACTGGTTGTTGTTGTTTTTTAAGTCGGTCTAAAACTTCCTGAGGTATAGGAAGAACTTGACAAACACGTTGTGTAACTGCTGGAAGTCGACAAATCCATCTTGAACCCATTTGTCTCAATGCTGTATTGTTCATTTCATCTCAGTAAAAAACTTTACATTCCCCAAGTTTGAGGTGGTTGCGGTTGGTTATTGTTTACCCACTGTTGTGCATGGTTATATCCTCTGTTAAAGAATCTTTCACCTTGGTCCATATAGTGTCCTGCTTGGTTATAGTAGTCATTTGCTTTGTTATAATAGTTTCCTGCTTCTCTTCCTACATTGTCCATCCAGCCTTGAACTTTTCCTCTTGTTTCAGGATTTGGAATAAGATTTGTTGCATCTCGTGCTACCTCCCAACCTTTCTGTACAGTTTGTATAATAGGTTGTGCTTTCTCTTTAAGTATACCTAATGTACTCAAAATCTTCCTTCCAACTCCAAATACACCTCTGGCTATTGTTCCCACTGCGGGCAAAAATCTGGATGCAACTCCTGCTAATGCGCCAAATAAACCCATTTCTTATAGGGTAAAAAATGACGAATCCAAACAAGGACCCCTATGTTTCTAAAGCAACAAAGAAAGCACTCATGGTAAAAATCTTTAGTTCAACACCAAATGCTTGGTTTATGGATATCTTGGAAAACATTCCGAGGTATAGAGAAGATGGACCTCCATACTGGCTAATATTTGTCGGTCAAAACACAAGATACTGTGAAGCCATACCATTACAGTCCAAAGCTATTTTAGATATCTTAGCAACTTTGACAATATTCGTTGACAAATACCATCCAACAAAACTGACATCTGACTGTGAAAGTTCTTTCAAATCAGACGATATTAAAAACTATCTGCGTTCAAAAAATGTAAACCAATATTTCATTGTCGACCAAAACCATTCTGCTCTTGGTGTCATTGACAGTTGTATAAAAATCTTAAGAGACTTAAACCAACCACAAGGTGGTGAAGCAAATGAAATGTCATATGACGACAAGTATAGACACTTCTCCATGGCAAAGATGAGACAAGTTTTAAATATTTACAATAGCCGTAAACAAAAAGGTTTGGGAAACCACTCCCCCGAAGAAATGAAAAACAACCCTGACTTAGAGAAAGACTATATATTTAATAGTTTAGTCAAAAGAGACAAACAAGAAAGAATGCCAGGCTTCAAACTTAAGAAAGGTGACAAAGTAAAAATAGAAATACCTAAACGCGACCCATATGAAAATACTATTGACTATGACAACAATGGGAACCCGACAGGTACTCACCTTCGTGTTCGTAAAAATAGAAGAAAGTATACAAGAGAATATTATGAAGTTTTAGGCAAACATGGCAAAATGTACAGACTGCAAGCAGAAGATAAAACTACTATTGTCAGACCTCGTTTCAAACTTGTCAAAGTTCAAGGTGGTATACTTTCAAAGACAGTTCCTAACAAATATAAGACAACTCCTGACGAATATGCTAAAGAAGTTGAAAATGACGACTAAGCAATTCTATACCATGCGTAAACTGTCATGTAAGGTGGCATGTAGTCTTTACTTTGTCCCGTTGTTTGTGTATACCTGAAACGAAATGTGTATGGTTTCCTTCTCCCTGAGTGTCATCCCAGTAACAATTTATAGCAAACTTAACGTCGTCTTTAACATCATATCCTTTACCTTTTGTCATTCCTGACCAATCCCAATATCTATGCCTATGCCAACCTGCTTGAGATGTACTTAAATCTATGTAGTGACTGTGCGCAGGTAAGTTTTCACCTGAAATCGTTTTACTTCCACCTGTTTCCTTTGAAGAGTTTGCACAATACAAAAACCTGTCGACTATTTGTTCCCATGCACCAACACCAAACATTACTTGAGGACCTCTTGCTTCCATAGATGTATAAATAGAACCTACTGGGTTCATTAAATCAAACATATGAGATATTATAGGATTGTCTCTTTTGAACTTAAAATATAGTGCAACTATTTCAGGTTTCTTCTGGTTTGTGTCAGAATATTTTTTATAATATAATCTTATGTTTTCAGGGTAGGTAAAGTCTTGACTATAATATTTATTTCTGTCATCTTCATAATAGTATACTATTCTCGTTTTTTCTATTGCATTATATCTTTTATATCTATAAAAATCTAAATATAATGTTAGCTTTTGTTCATCTACATGTGGTGTTCTAACGTCATCTCCATAGTCATAATAGTATGGTGCTGGAGCTGGGTCAGGTAATGTCATATCTGCCATTTCATAAACTCTTAAATATTTCTTTTGTTCGTCTCCATATATGTTTAAGTAGCAGTTGTTGTCTAATGGAACTTTAACTTGTGTACCATCATTCTTTATATAGCTTACATACATTTCATTGTTATTTTTCGGAATGAGTTTATACCGTGTACCATTTTCTAAGGAATGTACAAACTGCCATCTAAAATATTTGTTTTCTTCATTGACAGAAAAGTCACCAACCATAGTCTCAATATTTTTTGTTCCAACTAAACTTTGGTATATTTCATTGACATATGTTTTATCTGCTTTCTTTTCAAGGCTAACGTTTAAGTCTGTTATTTCAGAAGATGTATGTGTATGTCCAACGGCACTTTTCCTGTTTAAGGTTTCTTGTAAGTTTGTAATATTTGCAATGGTATGTGTATGTCCAACGTCACTTTTCCTGTTTAAGGTTTCTTGTAAGTTTGTAATATTTGCAATGGTATGTGTATGTCCAACGGCACTTTTCCTGTTTAAGGTTTCTTGTAAGTTTGTAATATTTGCAATGGTATGTGTATGTCCAACGTCACTTTTCCTGTTTAAGGTTTCTTGTAAGTTTGTAATATTTGCAATGGTATGTGTATGAGTCTTTTTAGAATATTCTTTGTCAGCTCTTGTCACTTCACTTGACATTTTATTGTCAACATATGTTTTGTCCGCTAGTTCAGGATGAGTATGTTCTTTTGTTGCATATGTTGCATCTGCTCTGTCATGTTCTTCTTGAACTTTTTCAATGACATACTCTTTGTCAGCTTTGTTGTCAACATCTGCTTTCAAAAGAAGTTCTTTTATAGGTTTCTCGTTTAAAGTTCCTTTTGTTGGATTTACACAGACAGTATGGTTCTTATTGTCTTGAAACAGAAACTCGTCTGTCATTGGGTTTATCGTCAGTTTTAAGTTTCCTTCTTTCAATGACTCAGATATCTTAGAATAGTTTGAAAAGTTTGTTGTGTTCTTATTTAGAGCTTGCAAAATGAGTTGTCGGTTGTGTTTTATTTCTCTCATAGACGCTGTTTCATTTGACATTTTTATTCTAGATAAAATATGCTTTCAATAGAAAAAGAAAATTCTAGAGTTGCTACAACTAAACCATTAGATGAACTTTTTACGAATGTCGGTCAAAAGTTTGAGACAGAGACCGTAAAGCATGAAGGCTATCGTTTTGACTACCCGTTAAGATGGCTAAGAGACCCATCCGTCACAAAAGCTATTGGCTTTCGTAGAATGAAATTCATTTCAGAAGCCATACATGGTTTCCCATTTACGGTCGCTTTTGAAATTCGATACTATAACAAAGAGAAACGTACGTATGAGAAATTTGAACAGGGAAAACTTTTACAAGTTAGTTTGCTTGTAAACTTAGAAACAACTCTTCAAGCTTTTCAAGAAAAAATAAACGATATCTATCTCGAATATGCAAAACAGTACAACATTGACGAAGGAGAGTACCATCTCGATATTTTATATGACAGGAAAAATGCAACTGTTAAAATCGATAGAATAGAAGACCTTGGAGAAGACGTTTATATTTCTACAAAATATAACAACTTGGCATGGTATAGGTTTCTGAGGATGTTAAATCAGCCTGCAGAATATCCAGTACACCCGAACTTTATGAAGTCGAAAACCCTAATGGAACATATGAAAATGTTTTCGACTCAGATGCTATTATCGTTCATGCTTCATTTTCTGGTGCACAAAACTCTTTTTTATGCTTGGCAAATGACTTTTACGAAAAACCTACAAAGCTATATGAACCACCAAGTGGAAGTATTTCAGACTTTCAAGTATGGTTTACAACAGATGGAAGAAAGAGAATAGTTCCATTATACCACGCGTTTTACTTAGAACTTAGTTTCATATACAACTACTATCGAACGGTAAAAATATAATTTTAATACGGTTGAGGTGTTGGATTTGGTTGCCAACTTGACTGTGGTGCAGGTTCAGGCTGTTGTATAACAGGAGCTTGTTCTTCTGGTTCAGGGTCTTTAGGTATAATACCAACAAACTGACCTACTCTTTTACCAATATTTTTGACTCCGTTCCAAATTCCTCTTCCTACGGTTTTTATTCCATTCCATATACCTCTTCCAACATTTCGAAAGAAGTTTCCTATTCTTCCAAAGAAACCCATTTTACTATATGTAAAAATCTAATGTCCACCTAGTCTCTTACGTTTCCTTCTGAGTTCCATTGCATTCTTTAACTGGAGCTCATACATTCTATTTCTCCTCTGGTAGAAAACATACTCTGGGTCAACTCCTGTGTTCGCGTCATCTGCATAGAGTTGTTTATATCCCACTTCAGGGTTTGTATAAAACTCTTTCCATCTCATATTTGCATACCATGGTGGTAAGCCTAACGCAGCGTCATTTGACATGGCAGTTTGCATTTGTACATCTGTTGGCACTTGACCATAGTTTGCCATTGCAGTTTGTATTCTAACTTCATTTGGAATATTCTCTGGGTTTGGTTGTCCAGGTTGCTGTGCATTCGCTAAGTTCTGTGCGTCCATTTAATATTAGATAAAAATATCTCTTACGAGTACATATGCTGAACATTTGCTGGTATTGGTTCATCTTCATATTCTCTATATCTTTCTGCCACGTCAAATAAGTAAATGACACAATGGAAAAAACCTAAAACAAGTAGTCCTATTTCAAACCACATTTACTTACCAATAAAATTTCTTTGTTATGACACTTTTTCCGGTTTATAGGACCTCTCTCATATTCTATCTTGTCGTATCTAAACTCATAGTCATGTATGTCCTCTAACCATCTCATGACACTTTCCAAACCACTTTTATCGGATGTAAAGTAAAAGCATGGATGGTTATGTAAAACGTCTAAAGTTTCTAAAGAGTCTCTCAAAGTCCAGTCTACTTGGTATTGAAAATCGTATGTGTTATAGAACGGCGGGTCCACTATAAAGAAAACATTTTCCTTGTTTTTATATTTTTCATACAACTCTGTCCAATGACATCTCACAAACTCTATACCCTCAGTATATTTTTCTATGTTCTCTTTGAAAACATTTGTATAGTTAAGATATAAAACGTTTGACATAAGTGTTTCAATGTCATGAACTCTTATAGAACCACTATACAATAGTCTAGAAGATATACTATCCCAGTCAATATACTCTGCTTTTTTCAAAACCTCTCTGACAATATTTTTCTTATCTAATGGTATACGTTCCATCTTACCTATAGGTATCTTTTCTTTTAACTCTTTCAATATTTTGTTTGTGTCTGGTATATGTTTGAGACGGTTCATATAGTTGTCGAAGTCATTGCATATAATCTCTGAGTCAGGAAATACAGTATGGCACAAATGGGATATATAGAAACTTCCACCGAACAAATCTACAAATGTTAGACCATTCGGTAGTTTCTTAAGTTCTCTCAATAGAATATCTTTACATCTACTCTTATTTCCAAAGAAGGGTAACGGTGGTTTTGTAAAATTCATTTTATATACAATAAAAATGTTTTTTACCTGAAAAGTGACAGAAAAGCGGCTTTTGACAGATGTTTTGTTATGACTTCTTCGTAAAGACTTTGTTGAGATTTCTTCGTAAATGAGTGTAAATGACCCAAAAATATATTTTAGGTGAAGAGGTGAGATTTCACCTCTTTTTTCACCTCTTTTTTCACCTCATGAATTTTCATGATTTCATCGTAAATGTTTTGTCAAAACTTCTTCATCTAATTTCTCATGAACTTTCTTGTCTATGTTTTGTCAAGATTTCATCGTAAAGACTTTGTTGAGATTTCTTCGTAAATGACCCTAGTAGTATATTTTTGGTGTAAATTTCATGAAAATTCAAGAGGGTGAAAAATTAGGTGAAAAAACAGGTGAAATCTCACCTCTTCACCTAAACATTATTTTTGGTGTAAAATTCATGAAAATTCAAGAGGGTGAAAAATTAGGTGAAAAAACAGGTGAAATCTCACCTCTTCACCTAAACATTATTTTTGGTGTAAAATTCTGAGTAAAATGACAGATGGAACACATACTTTTTCAGTAAGTACATATGGGGTAGAAAAGAGGGTAGAAAACGGGGTAGATATACCCTTCTACCCTAAAATATATTTTTGTCTGATTTACGCTCATTACGATGAAATCTTGACAAAGTCTTTACGAAGAAATCTTGACAAAGTCTTTACGATGAAGTTTTGACAAAGTCTTTACGATGAAATCTTGACAAAGTCTTTACGATGAAGTTTTGACAAAGTCTTTACGATGAAGTTTTGACAAAGTCTTTACGATGAAATCTTGACAAAGTCTTTACGATGAAATCTTGACAAAGTCTTTACGATGAAATTCATGAAAATTCAAGAGGTGAAAAATGAGGTGAAAAAACAGGTGAAATCTCACCTCTTCACCTAAAATATATTTTTATTGAATTCTGTATAATATTCTGAGTAATATGACAGATGTTTATATAACACTTTCTCCGGTTTATAGGACCTCTCTCATATTCTATCTTGTCATATCAAAACTCATAGTCATGTTTGTCCTCTAAGACTTCATTTATACTAAACATCTTCAGGGCTAGAAGGCACGAAGTGCCTGGAAGCCCCACTACCTTTTTTTTTTTTTTTTTTTTTTTTTTTTTTTTTGGATCCTGTTATTTCCGAAATCGACAAAAAATTTGGAAATTTAATTTCCGAAATCGAAATTATATTAATGTTTTTAATATTCTTATATCAAAAGGATTAAAGTTCATTAAGAGAAAAACAATTCTTCTTCTTCAATCTATTGGCGCATTTATTTCTACACGCCAATAAGGAAGGGAAAATTATAAGACACCATGGTGTCTTCAAAACGCTAATTTTTGATATTTTTAACAACCCTACTAAATTTTAAAGACCATTTCAGAGAATTGAACTAACACTCAATCCTCTGAAATGGTCTATAAAATTTGTTTCTATAAAAACGTATAATACTAATCAGATACAATAACCACTTTTTCAATTCCTAGTTAACATTAAAATTTTCACTTTTCTAACGGTTGATTTGTATTCAAAAAGATAACATTGAAATTTACATATTTCAAAATTATTGGTCATTTTGTTGAAATTAACGAAATTATATCAGTTTTAGGCTATTTAATACTTCAACCATTGAACAACCTTCAAGAAAAGTGGCAACCTTTGTCGTTTTTTCTACAATAACTGGACTCTTCTTTTCCGCTTCCCACGCTAGAAATAACAGCAATAATCAGAAGGTACTGATTCTTCCATTCAGTTATTGACTATCTTAATTATAAATGCTCGTTCCTTCCTTAATTGTTTCTTCATATTAATTTTATTTAAAACAAATATCTTTAATTCAAATCATTGCGATACTGTGTTAATAGCACTAAGAATACAGATTTCAAAATATCACAATTGAATTTGATTTTTTGATTCTCTTAAATTCAAAGTCTGAAATCATTGTTATGTGACTTATCGGAGCCTTTGATGTGCATTCATTTTTATTTATTACGAGAAAAGTTGCTAGCACAGAATCTTTTTTTTTTAATTACGGAATGCTCATTAAGACTGAGAAGATTATACAAAAGAAGTATTAAAACAGGATATATTAAAAAATGAATTCAAGAAGATTTTTAAAAATTTATTTGCAAATTTAAATTTCATCTTCAATATCATACAATATTTCTACAATTGTATTAAAATATGACTACTTGTGATCAAAAAAGGTAAAGGTTTTATTCTAAATAAGGTTTAAAATGCGATTTACCTTATTTGAGGGTATTTTCGGATGTTATTTGCCTTTATCCAGTTGCAATGTAGTAAGATGCAATTCTTAGCTGCATATAAGTATAAATTTCTGGCAAGATGCTTCATTATTTTGTATTTTAAAATTTATATAAAATTTAAAGTCCCAATTCTAGAAAAATGATAATAAACATGATTTGTTTAAATAATAGATAAAGAAATAAACAAAAATAATTACAATTAAACTAAATCTTCAGAAGTTGAAGAACTTGAGCTTGTTGAAACCCTTCCTTTTCGGTCACGAGCTCTCTTCTTTGTTGGCTTTCTCCTTGGCATATCACTATCTTCATCGTTATCTTGAGGATTTGATGGTTTGCTAGGTTTTGAAGATGATTTTGGTGCATCATCTTTTCCAGGGTCAGATGGCTTACTTGGCTTAGGTGGTTTATCATCCTGAGGTGTTGTTGGCTTCGGAGGATTATCTTCTTGGTTTGATTCTGGAGGATGCGTATGGCTGGACTTTTTCTCTGATTTGTGTTTCGGTTTCTTCTCATCTTTAGGCTTGTGGTGGTGTCCTTGAGGCGGCATTGCTGCATTAACATCGTCCCCAGGGATTTGGTCAAGATTGAGGCCACTTCCACTATCGGAATTGAATTCATCTGATTTATCCTGTTTCGGTTTCTTCTTTTTCTTCTCTGGGTTCAGAAAATCTGGATCTGATAAGTAAAAATCATCAATGTGTGATTCGCCTTCTTCATAGATTCTGATCTTGAGATTCTCTGTCTGATACTTGATGTTGTTTCCGATTTCGTGAATTTCTTTACGACCACCATTTTCGATTGGTTCTTTTTCTGCAAGATACGGCAAAGTAACGCCCATGTCCTTACAGACACCGCAGTGGACAGCTTTTTCGACATTCTTAAGGAGTTTCTGCATTGATGTCTTAATTTCGTCTACAAGATCGCCAAGCTCTTTAACGGCTTCGAATGAAACCTTGGAAGGTAATCCATGTGCATAACGATGCTTGTTGATCTCTCTGGAGCATTGCTGTCGCATCTTTTTGACAATTGTCCTGTTCTTGAAGTATTCTTCTTGATTTTGGGAATGGCGAGCTGCTTGCATGGCATCATATATCGGGAAGACACAAAAATCAATGGATTCTGTGGCGTAAATTTCTTTCAAAACGTAATTTTCGAGTTCCAAGGAAACAGGAGCATTTCCATCGATGTAAAGAGTCTTGAGATTTTTGTTGCATTGGATTACTTTGGACAATTTCTGGAAACCGAGCTCACCAAGATTATTATTAGAAAGATCAAGAACTTCAAGGTCATCATAAGCTGTTAAGTTATCAAGAACAGTGTACAAAAGGTGTGCTGGACCTCCATTGCGAGGAGAACCTCTCAGGCGTAATTTTTTGAGTTTCTTGAAGTAATCTTTGTTGATTTTGCTGATGACTGGTCCGATATCGGCCATGGAGCGTGAAAAATTATCGGAAATGTCAAGCTCTTCAAGGTTTGGCATTCTCCAGAGGAATGAAATCAAGAAATCAAGCTCAATTGTAGTAAGATTGTTATCTGCAAGTGAAACTGATGTCCAAACATTTAAATCCGAGTACAAAAATCCTGTAGCGACGATCATCAATTTTTCTCGATTTAATTCGTTTCCGTTGAGCTTAATGGAAATATCTCTAATGCGCTCATACTTAGAGAGTTCGTAGACGATCATTGAAATCAGGCGGGGATCCATCAATGTATAGCTTAAATCGAGAATCCTCAAAGTTGTGGCTTGTTTGACGTAATGGAGGAGAGCTTCGGATGAATCATGTTGCATTCTTGTACCTTCAAATGATAATTCTTCAATTGGTTGTGGGAATTTTTCTAAAGTTTGTAAAATTCGAACAATTCCTTTGGTATCACCATCAATACCGAGTGATTTAATGATGTGGATGCCTTTGTTGTTAAGATTTTCAAGGTGCTGGCAGAAAATCTCGCAATCTGCTTCTGGTGAATAATTTCCATTGAAATAAAGGTATTTGAGGTCCAAGAAGACTTCATTATTTGCAATGGCTTCGAACAATGTGCGCAGGTTGTTAACATTGCAGCGTCCAATGCTCAAATAAAAAACGGAATGTCGAATTACCTTAAATGCTTGGAAAAGTGGCTCCAAACCGTCACCACCGCTAAGGTTATTGTAGCTGAAGTTATAGTAAGACAATGGGATGCGAGGATTCTTTTTGAGCTCATTTCCAATTTCTCCGACTCCGCTATCGATTCCACATTGGACCAAGTGGATGAATCTCATTCCCTTTGACTTGGAAATAAGAGGAGCAAGGCGGCGAGCGATGTAAGGCATGTTTCTCTTATGAACAATCAATCCGTGAACGTAAGGAACGTAGTACAAGGCTAGAATAGCAGGAATGATCTGCTCTTCGGTTAATTCTGGTGGTAAAAGGCCAAAATCAAATACACCATCTTCATATTTAATTCTATCATGGTAAAACTCAGCAATTTCGTGATTGTAATCAACGGTAAGACGAGAACAGAATGCATAGTATGTATGTTGATATTGCTGTGAAGGAGATAAATGATGATAGAAGGTTGGAAATTCATCTGGTAAAGATGTTGCGAAATCACACAATCTTGTTGGATCAAAAGCACATGTAGAGATCAGATAATTGCGTCTGAGTATTTGCGCAAACATAAGAGCTGTACTACAGATAACTCTGCAGTTTACAATTGGATGATCCTTATCCAACTCAGGAAGTCTGCAAAAAAGTAATATCTTGTGCTTTCTGCGAATTCTGAGAGATGAAATATCGAAAATGTGGAATATAACGGATTTTTTTGGTTCTGATGTTGGATCTTTTTTAATAAATATGCCAACAAAGTGAGGAGAGCATGCAATAATCCCATTAAATTCATCGCCCATGTTATATCTTAGAGTTGCAGGTCTCGCGTAAGAAATATAAGGTTGTTGATCTTTTCTAAAGCGTCCTACAATATAATCTCTGTCTTTTTTGGATAATTCACCATCAGGAATATTCAGAGAATCTCCCCTTTTATCTAATTCTGGATAATAAATGCTGGAAGGTAAAAATTCTTGATTCCTTCCAGACATCAATTCAAAAATTGAAAAAAAAGTATTTTTTATCGTAAAAAGTGCCATGATGTTTATATGCTAGAATACTGAAATATAACTCATATTCAATATCAACATATATAATAAATAGCAACAACTAAGGGTTTCGTTTTGCGAAAAAAACGTACAATACGCAATTTCGCTAAAAAAACATTTAGCTAGCAATTTCGACATTTGACTCCACTCAAGACGTCACTTTTTTAATTTTGCGGTATCATATTTTTGGAAAATCTTTATGAATATTATATAAAAAGTCTCTTTAATATCTATATTTCATATTTTTATCGATTTTTAAAGTTTTTGCGAAAAGTATTCAATTATTTTTGCTATTTGGTCGGGTAAATGTCAGATTTGCGACATTTTCTGATATGATATTCAGATTCTACGTTGATAATAATGCTTATAGAACCCTCTTGCTATTGTGTCAAAATTGCGAAACCGATAGCAAAAATATCTCGCAATATCAAAATTGAGATATTGAGTGAATTATGCATTATAGAGATTAAAAATCTGATTTGTGAAAACATCTCATCAGTTTCTAGCTAATTCAAAAATCTTTACTATCTTATTCGATTAAAATGAAAAGGGAATAGTTTCATTATGCTTTAAATGACAGCCTTATAATATAATCATAGTTTTCGCTCAATATGCAGCATTTTTTTTCGAAATCTATGGTCAATATCCTAAATACTGATTGCTTTGCATTCATATCTCTTACATTTTCTATACCCACATCACTATTCATTGCTATTCCTATCTTTTTCATTTTTGTTTGTTTCTTATAATTTCTCAAAAAACATGATAACTTGATATTTGTAAATATCATACTTTATAGCGTAAATAAGAACTTGACCTATTAAGAAAAGCAGTAATGAAAAGAAAATCTGAAATTCATAAAAATTACAAGTTTCTGATGACAATTAGCTTAATTAAACCAGGTACAAGATTATATAATTGTATTTTCTATCCAATTATCCATATAATATCTTATCCAGAAAAAATAACTTGATCAATACCAAATGATTTTTTAACTAGTAAATAAAGTATTTTCTTTACACACACATTGTATATCATAGTTTTTTTTTTTTTGGTTTCGCAAAACATCCAAAAACAAATATGCTATAAAAGTGACAATTTTAGCAAAACGAAACCCTTACAACAACCCTCAAATTTATAAAATATCGGCTAAATTTAGATTCAAATTTGCATCATTTTGAATTCATTTTATGAAATAGTTGAATTTCCATAAATTGATAGTATACAACGAGTTTCCCAATTCAATTATCTTTTCAAAAGAATTTGAGGTTGCAATAGTGAAATATAACCTGTAAAATTCTTTGATTGCTTTATCTCCTACTAACACAAAACTAAATTACATTTCATTAATTAAGTAAATTAATTTGATGATCAAATTACAATTTTTATTTCCCCTGAATTACTCATATTATTGATCTCAGCAACATGCACCTCTATAATATTAAGCTGATTTGAATACAATTTTGTTCATCATAACTGGAGAGGGTAATGGTTTACATATCGTCAATTTGATCACACAAAAAATGAGTTTTAGAAAGAATCCTGTATGCTATACCCTAATGAATAAGTCATGTCTTAAATATGAAATAGAGACAGGTAATGAAAAATCAGAAAATGATAGAATAGATGAAGAACAAACTAACATTAATCCTCAGCAAAAGAAATTATCCGAATATATAGCAGAGAACTCAGAATTATCGATCATTTTAGATTTATATGGTTTCAAAATCCAATTAGACCGCACGAAATATTATCTTGAAAAGTTCAAAGAACGAAAGGATCCAAAGTTGTATGAATACATTCAATATGTATTGGATAGTCAAAACATTTATGAGGTCAATGCAAAATTTTTGGAAGCATGCGAAAAAATATTTTTACCAATGATATCAAACATCTTTGATATTAACAAAAAGTATGAAGCATTAGAGTTCATTCGAGCATTGTCTGATGCCGAAATTGATGATTCAAGTCCTCTTTGGGATTATCATGATACCTTCACTAAATTTCACAAAATTTTCCTTGGATCGAGGAGATTTCTATTCAATGCGTTCGTTGAACAATATTTAAAAAGGTGTAAGATTTTTCCCCATTTGATTGAATCAGAAAACTTCACTATGGAGATGTCTAGCGCGAAATACGAGATGAAAGAATCAGGAGATCAATTTGGAGGTAAGATCACAGATTTAACAAACAACAAAGTTTATTACGTTAAAGCTCATCAAAACTATCCTTTAAAGAACATTCAAAACCAACTTTTTGTATCAGAGTATCAACAAGAAGAATGGGAAAGTGAAAATAGAAGTGATTTTCTGGATTCAGAAGTGAGAAATAAAATTACAACTGTCGATCTTAAAGAGTTATTTACATACAAAGTCCTAGAATCTCTTCACATGGGTGCGAAGGTTGATTTTTTTATCAATCCTTTCATCAACGGAGGATTTTACATAGTTTCAGAAAGTTTAAACAATGAAAAAGATATTTTTATTGATTTGAAGTCTTTTTATGAAAGCCAATTGCTAAGACATGCTGAATTAGAATTTCTTCTTTTTAAGGATGATGCAGTAAAATCAAAAATAATGCGTCCAGAAGAATTTAAAACTCATTTCAGTAGAAAGGTAATTGTTGATTTAACCGTTATTGATATTATCTACAAGATATTCTCACTGAATGATGCACATTCTAGAAACATTGGATTTGTTGACAGCATTGATCATTATGAGTATCTTAAACAAATTAGATCAATCAAGGATTTAAATGAGAAAGGAGAAGAATGGATGCAAAGTAGTCAAGATTTTAGAATTATTGATTTCATTCCATCTAATGAAGGAGAACGAGGATATGTTATTCCAGAAATTGTTGATAATTACTTAGCTGGAGATCCTAAAAAGTATTTTGATTATCTTAATATCCTTGTCGGTACTACATGGAGATTAAACAATGAAGAAATTCTTCTCTATAATTTAAAAGAATCTTATAATGAGCCACTGAAATTAGGACCTCGAAATGATAATATTAAGAGAGAAAAATTCTTCATTGGATTTCGTGCATTGGAAAAAATTCAAAGTTATGTTGATAAAGAAGTACTTTCAGAGAATGCATCAAATCATAATTCGAACAAGGATAATGATGATATTGAAAGGTTCAGGTTGTTCTTAGAGAAGAAAGCGAATAAAATCAAATCACTCATGAAACAGGAGAGGAATGACTTTCGATTCTTGAGAAACCGAACAAATGCATCTGTTCTCGGATTCAAGTCTCGATGCGGAAAGAAGAGGGAAGAAGGAAAAAATCTTGATCTTCATTTCATCGAAGATGCAATTGAAGACTTAGACAATTATGTCAACGGCGTTTATCAGAACTTCAAGAACCTTAAGAAGTTCATCACAAATGGATACCATAAGTTCTTTGATGTCAACGGGAACTTCAAACCTTATAAAACAAAATAAAAATAAAGTGCTTATTGTTCAAAATTGATTTTTACTTTCGAGTTAATGATCTCGATTTTGAGAATTATTATTCAGCAATTCAATCTCTCAGACAACACAAGTATTATTTCAATTTATTATGTGGTGATGATTGAATATGGAAATGTATCGTATTTTGATAGGATCATGCAATAGAAATGCCTAAAGGATGTGTTTTGCCGTGTTTAATCAATGAATGCATGTGTTACTAATACTGCTGAGCCATTAATGAAAAATACTTCAAATTGGTTCTGTCATTGTATATTTTCTATGCGATTTGGATCCCTAAATTCAGTTATAACGGTGAATGTTGCAAAAGTATCACATTCAAGTGAATGGAAGAAAAATCATAGTATTGACAAAAATTAGCAATATTTAAGATCAATAATGCAAAGAAATTAGTAAGTAAATCCAAGGGTTCCGATGCTTGAGGTAAGGGAAACATCAGTGTGGGTGAATAAATTTTATTTGATATTAAACTCAGAAACTACGCCTTCCACAGCTCAATGAGATAACACATGATACAGATTTAGGTTTTCTTTTAATTTTCCAAAATAACATATTCCATTTGATCTGTAGAATTGAGGAAAAAATTGAATTATAAATTTCTGAAAATTTGGCGGTTTTGACGGCCATTATGGAATCCACACAGGAACAAGTTAAGTTAGCTGTTGTCAAACAGGTTATCGGCCGTACAGGATCACGCGGTGGTGTCACACAAGTTCGCGTTGAATTCCTTGATGACTCAAACCGCTCCCTTGTCCGCAATGTTAAGGGTGCTGTCAGAGAAGGTGATATCCTTTCACTTCTCGAAACAGAACGTGAAGCTCGCCGCCTTAGATAAAATACATATCAATTGATGTTGTTGAAATGTTAGTTGAAAATAAAACATTCATATAAAAGATTTCTTAAACTTGGCTTACTCTTTTACTACAACATCCCTTTGTACTCATTAAGAGTTCTCAGTTTTTTTTAATAAATTTTCTAATTATTGGAAAATATTTAATAATTTTTCTAATATTTTTATATTAATTGATTCTCTTCGTTTTAGTAAGAAAGCGTTTGAATGTGATTAAAATTTTCGATAGATGATTTGGGGTTTAGTAGTTCCAAATTATATCATAAATGATAGCAAATATATGTTACAAAGGTATCATCAATATTCTAGAGCTTTATGAAAATTCAGCATATATGTTTGTTATTCATAAAATGGTTTAATATACGAAAATTTATAAAATTTGAATCTCATAACTTAGGAATATTATACCAAAAATCTCTACATCAATACAGAATCATTTGGATATGTATTTATATTCAAATGTTAAAAAATTATTTTGAATATAATTTTAAAAACAATTCAGGAGTAAGTTAATGGATAGAAACAATTTTACTAACAATATATCTCTATATAAAATCATGTATATGATTGATCATAAGATTGATCATTATTCATCAAAGGCTGCTCTTCAACTTTCTTTTTGTTGACGCATTTGTAGTAAATGCACATTCCAAGCAATATAAATTGCTCGACTGCGGCTCCCATGTATGAAATCCAAGTTGACCAGTCGTCATGTTGGCCAAGCCATAGGAATAATGAGTTCACTAGACCTCCTGGAGCCTGAATGCACAACATTAGTATCGAAAGTGATCCGTTTGTCTTCAATTTAAATGTTGTGTACATTTGAGGGAAATATTGAATAACGACGATTATTGTAGATGCAGTTCCCATCATCTTACCGTAATATGTAAGAAGATCGTTATGAATTCCTTTATAGACAATGAAAATTTCTATTAAGAGGAATAAAATCAAAGATGTAAATGGATTGAGAACAGCAAAGATCTTTGTGGTGTAACCGTCACGAATAACTTTGCTAACATCTCTATTTTTGTAAACATTTTTGTCGAAGTAGATATAAGTGAAAAATATGATTGGCATATAAAATATCCAAAGCATTAATGCATTTCCAATAGTGAGAAGTCTAGAAAAAGGTAAATACCAAGGTACTACTTGAGGAAGTCCTACAAAATCTGGAACATTAAGAGCAACAATGTTTATAATAATAATCAATTGGTTCATATGGACAGTAAATATTGTAAATGGGTTCAAGCCATAGCTGGATCTGTTCTTTATAAGAAGATGAATCTGCGGTAGAACAGAAAACGAAGTTCCAATCATTAAACAAGTACCAAGGATCATCCAACTGATAGCTGCAATCGGGTAAAACCATGTGTAATCAAGAAAACCTGAAAGAAATGCATCTCCTTCAAAAGGCATAATAATTTCTTGTAAAAATTCGGAATTTGATAAGGTATTGAAATTGATAAACCTCAGAAATTAGAGTGTGTATTTGACCAGATAGCGAAAAGTGACAAATAAAAGAAAGCTAAATTAGCTGTAAATAATACATACATCTAATCTGCCATTATTATTTACTTTTTAAAAAATCGATTTTTCAATTGATTTTTTGTGTGTAGTCAATTGATTTTTGTTTTAGCCACATCATTACTTTTTCATGTGGTGTGACTAGGCTCAATGAGTTAAAAAGCTTAGATCTAATTAGGAATTCATGCAACCTAAGTTCTTTAAAAAAAAAACAAATTCTTTCTGCTGATATTAATTAGTCCAACCAAAACATATTCAAATCTGAGCCATAACTACTCAAGTTATTCATGCCTAGTATTTGACAACACTTACAACTCGTTTAATCTTTATCTTCAAAAAGCATCGTTTATTACCATAATTTAGTAAGCACATTGTAATTCTTTTTGTATGTTTGAACAATAAGTTAAGTTTTTATTTTAAAAAATTTTATAGATTTATTTTTCCAATTCGATTCCATCATGACGCATATACTAAGCTATATCTTATACAATTCAAATGGATAAATTCAATGCTTCAATCAATTCCACTTCTTTCCAATGCAATTTTCCATTTTATCTTCAAATATTTTGATATTTTCTCTATATTTTCTTGATCCACACTCTAATTAAAGATATTTTAACGTCCGATTCTCATAACTTTAACAAACAATTTTGAAAATTTGTTATTTCCACAGCCTTGCTAAAAAGTACTATCCACAGAATATACTTGCTCAGAAATACTCAATGTATACTTAAGGAATAACTCATATAGCTTGGGGCAGGACACAAACGCAAAAGTCGCAGCTCTAATGAAAAATTAATCATTGAATTTTTGAAAAGCATTCAAAAGAGCATCAATCTATCCTTATCCTGCGAATAATTTTTGTACCAATATTAATCTTATCGATTTTTTTTGAATGAGCTTTTAAATATTCAAAAATCAGATATTTTTGAACTGATAATAATCGTTAACCGTAGATTTTTCAATGTATATCAAATAACATGATTGTATAGCATAAGTTAATCTTTTTAACCAAAATTTCTTCGTTCTGAATTTTAAAATTATGTGAGCTAAAAATGATAGTAACTTTTCAAATTTCAAAACGCTTTCGATATTGATATTTTGGTGCATATTTCAAAATTTTGATTTGAAACAAAAATAATCGATAACCGTATGTTTTCTTATCCATATCGAATGATATGATTGTATATTACCGATTAGTATTTATTAACAAAAATTTTATGTATTTCAAATTTTGCGACTATGAATTTTGTTTAATGCTTTTCTCTTTCCTTGCTCTTACTACATCAACACCCGAAGTCATAGACTTTACACAAAAAGAGTTCGATACTCCATTTTCTTCATATAATAGAACTACGTTATTTATTTATAATCCAGAAGATTTTACGGTTGAATACCAAAATGGTACCAGGGTAAATATGGGACATTTGCTGTATTTACCGTTTAGTGGAAATCCAAATCCGTCATTAGATTTCACAGTACGCTGCCAAGGCTCAAAAACACTGCAAGCTATATTATTTTCTGCTTCATATGAACAAACCAACATGAAATCTTACTTTTTGATTAATACATTTGGAAAGAAATTATATTTACCATCAAGTGACTGTATTTTCAATAACGATATCAATATTTTCGAGCCAATCAGAATTTATGTTGCTTCTGATGTTCGAAACGATATAACTTTTTATCATGGTCTAGATATACTTTATCCATCACGTTTAACAATTTATGCCAACAGAGGAGATTATTATAAGGATCAGATTTATACATCTAACCCAGAAACAACAATCAGCAATGTTTATTTCGGATACTTTGAAATTTCTGCAGACTTTTCAAAAGGACAATTAGTCGGAATCAAAAATGTTCAAAAATCAAATCCTAGTGATCAAATTCCTTCTGATTCAGTGGTTTATGAATCTTTTTCAAGCACAACAGATCTTGATGAACCTGCAAATCGTGAAATATATCAACATATAAATCTAGAAAATTATTATTTTGAAAACCCATTTCCAAAATTTACAGCAGGAATTAAAGGTTATGAAACCAAAGGAAATGTAATTTTAATTCAGAATTATCAAGACTTGGTGTTAGGAAATGGTGAAGATTGCCCACCTGTTATTGAACCAAACGGAGTTATTTTCAAACCAAAGAGTGGAGCATTTAATTTTGATTATTTTACAGGTTCTCCAGAAAAAATGTCTTTTTGATTCTTTTAGAGATTGCAAATGTGATACAGTCGATGTTATCATGAGACAAACAGGTAAATTCTTCCATTATAATTTTGAAAAGAAAGAGAGGAATAAAAACCTGAAGAATTGCATTATAACTAGAGGAAATAATTATTGGAATTCCAATTTCTTATGGAAAGATGAACTTTGGCACTTCCCAGAAAATGATGAAGAACAATATCAAAGATCTTTTCCAGTAGTTTATCATTATCCTCCAAATGTTGGTGAATTTTTGCTTGAAGAATTAACAGTTTCAAATCAACTAACATTAAATCCTGGATTTAATGAATTTGAATGCCAACCACACACTATTATTAAATTAACTTACACTGGACCAAGTGATGAAGTTGGCATTTTCCGTGATATGGATTTCTCAACTCATGAAGATATTAAAAATTCCTACTTAATTACTATAAACGAAGCAACTAAAAAACATATTCATGTTGTTATGGGGATTGGCACTGTTGCAGTTGCTCACCTTGTTTTCAATGCACAAAGCAAACAGATTCCTCGTATCAAAGAAATATTTGATTATCCATACAACCTTTCAGACGAGATCTACAATAAACTTCATTTTACGTCACCATATTATGCTTTAATATTAGGTGATGATCTTTTGGAAGTTGCATTCATGAGAGATGAACTTTCAAATGATACACTATGGTATTCAAATTCATATGATATTAATGGTGAATTTGTTGAAATGACATCAGATAAAGAAGAATATCATATATTAAACACACATTGTGTTATTATGAAGATAAAACAAAGCTATAACAAACATATCAGTGGAAATTATGGTATCAAAGAAGTAAAGTACATGAACCCAGGTAATCAAAATTATAAATCACTTTCAGAGAGAATTTCTGATTTTATAACAATGTTTGGATCATGTGCTAGTTGTTTAAACAAAGTTGTTATTCCAGATAAAGTTCCAGAGAAGAAAGAAGAGAATGTTCCAAGCGGAAAGTATGCAATGACACCAGACGAAGAAGAATATAAGATTGGCAAAGGTAAATTAGTTGTTTTGAGTTATAGTCCATCACAGAAAGTCGAAATCCATGCTAAGATTGGCGATGAAGAAGTCGATGTTAGTGGAAAGAAGTCATCAGCCGTTCTATTCACAGAAGAAGGAACTCTCACTATCTCTAACAAGAAGAATAACAATAACAAGAAATCACAAGTTTTCATGTACATATACGACATCTCTAACTATCCTCCATTCGACTACTGGATCTTCATCACAGGCACGCAGACAATCCAAGCTAAAGATTTTGGTGTTTCCAGCAAGTCACTTGTTGGCAAGCGCATTGCCATCTTCTCATCATTCTTCAAGTCAACATCAACACTGAACATCAAACTTCCTAAAGGTGCAGATGCACAGTTCTATTCACTTGACGGCAGTTCTGCAAACATCCGTCGTCACACGATGGAAGTCGAATCTCTCGTTCACACAGAACCTATCGTTAGTGTTATCACACCATCAACAGAAGACGAAGTCGAAGATATCTCATTCGAGATTGCTACAACAGATTATCCAGAGCTTGCTATTGAAGTCACAACAGTCACAGACATCAATGAAATATCCATTGTCCCACAATCATCAGAGACACCAACACCAACAGCCGGCGGAAAGAAACTTTCAGTTGGTTCTATCATTGGTATTTGTGTTGGTTGTGTTGCTGTGATCGGCATCATTATTTTTGTTCCCATCTTCATCATCAAACGAAAGAACAATTCGCGTGTTAGTAATGGCGACTCATGTTCCGAAGATGAACACAATTCTGAAACAAATTCAACTAATAAAACAAACAATTAATTATTGCTTTTAAAGATTACTTAAATAAATAAAATTATTATTAAGCTTACTAAGAATATGTTCTACTTATTTCAAATGATCGTATATTTTCATTTTAGTACAATACTCTGCCGCCGAAAAGATGCTAATTGAAATAGAAAAACTCTCAAGCATTTAAAAATACTTTCAAAATTGTTTTCATGCTTGTCGGGCAGGCAATATTTCGTCAATGCTGGAGATGTTTGCAAATTATCTTTTTGTATGCCAAATTTACAGAATATTGTGTGAGTCTTATATTGAATGTTAATCTTATTGAATCAAAATATCATTGTATGAGCAAGTTCTGAAAGAAATTATAAATATGGAGACAATAATTTGTCGTTTGAAGACATTATTTCTCATCTCAAGTGAGGTACTTGCTAAGTTGATAAAGCATAATTGAGGAACAAAGACATCAAAGATTGTTTAAGACAATCTTCCATTCATTATTCAAAAATCTTTACGCTTTCTCTGGGATGTTTGTCGAAACTTTCTACTTGAGAATAAAATTCAAAATCTAACTTATCTTAGAGTATTATAGTATGTTTCCCAGAGATTAAAAAATGAACTTATATATAATTCCAATCCCTTTAAGAAAATTTAAAGTGAGTTATCGAAGTTGATAATTTCAATTTTTATATCTAATACGCTGAATCTAGTTAAATAGCCAAACAAATGAAAAAAAATCGGAACTCTCCCAAAAAGGGCTTTTCTAACATAATTTTATTTTCATATTTAATTTTAAACAAAAATATTAATAAAGTAATAAAGAATTAACATTTAAATATGTTTATAAATGTTGATGAATGGCTCAATCTTGCTATTAAGTTCATTGTAAATAAATGTTATAGAGCGCGTCGTAATCAGTCGCCATTTTGTTATAAAAAATGGTTCAGGTCCCATCCCTCCAAATGAATAAGGTGTAGCAGTTGGTTTATACATAAGAATAGACTGAGCGCGTGCCTGACGACAATTAACAATATATGAACCATGATTATTTGTAACTTTGATTACAGTTCCGCTCAATTTTGCAGCTCTATATCTATCAAATATTTGATTAAAATCAATTTTATTAAAAAGTTGCTTAGACGTGGAAGACCACTTGCAAAGATTAAAGAAATTTTGAAGTTTGTTTCTTTCGATTTCGAATTCGTTAGCAATCTGATCGACAATAGAATTTATATCATTTGTTGAATAATCTTTTTCCAGTTTGGCAACGCTTATTTGAAATGGGACAGCATCATAACTATAAGAAGAATCTTCGTTCGGAATTGGATACTGATTTCTTCTGATATTTTGGACAATATCATGCTCATCTTTTATATTGATTTTAGAAGAGCTCTGTGATTGAGAAGAGAGAAGAAATATTAGAAACATAAAAAAAATGTCATTTGACAACAATACGTGTCAAAAAGATAATATAATTATGAGTTTCTTTTAAATATTTCGATTTTGCTTGACAAATCGAAAATCTTAGACTCCTTTTTTGAGACAACTCATACAAATAATTCAATAATTTATCGATCAAAATTGTGCCATATGATCAGATATTTGGATTAAATTAACCATGAGCAAATGGCAGGAAAAAGGATTAAATAATAAGTAATAAATAATAATTAATAATAAATCAAACAATTTACTTTATAAAATTATTCATCTTCTACAGTTGCAGAAATGAATTTAAGTTTATGAGTCCAATGCTCAATAATTGCCTTGCTGTTCTTATCGTGTATGTCAAGAGGCACGAATTTGGTCAAATTATTGGTCATTGGAACAACAATGTTCCGAACAACTTCAATACAGAAGTTTGTGATGAGAATTTGGTCTGTTGTATCAATTCCGTGGCATTCGAGGAATTTTATGGCAACTTCATCTGATATTTTGGCCGGAGAATAAAATGGAGCCATTTTTGCATAACAAAGAAGGAATAACAAGAGAGTTTCTCGATCTTTGCTTTCTTCCATTGGTGAGAAATAAGGAGATTCGATCAAAATCCTCAAAGCTCCAAATGATGAAATATCATTCCAGACAAATTGGGATTCTAGCAAGGTAAGTATCGTAGAAGTACAATACTTAGCAAAATCTGTATCCAATGACCATGATGGAATATATCTAGTAATAAATTCCAAAATTTCAACACGATCCATGAAAGAAACGCAAATTGGATGGCCAAACACCTTCGTAACAGTTATCAAATCATCTTCGAAGATAGGCTGTGTAGTATAAAACTGGTTATCATAAGAATATTTGGCCAATTTGTCGTAATCAGGTAAAAAGAACAAAGCAGCGATATAAGCAAGTAACAGATCGACTTTGTTGGTTACCCAGTATTTAAATTGTGTATGGATGATGTTGTAGAACGCATTTAATTGTAATGCGGTAATTGAAGGATCTTTGCAGAAGTTTTCTGCGTAGAACTTCACCATCTCAATCAAACAGTTCGGATCTATCTGCGGAATTAGTAAATCTTCTTTGACAAGAATGGCCGCAAATAATTGAACGAGATACTTGACCGGATGGCTCTGGTGTAGCTTCCAACGGAACTTTAGATCACCAATGTTCTTGTACGTCGCGATTTGGGACCCAATTATATCTTTCCATGTCGCGTAATAGTTTGGAAGGGACTCCATGTTGATGTACTCCTTGGAATTGACCAACTCGTTGCAGAATTTGCAGTGGTTCTTGCATATGTAAGGATGCACGTTATGAACTGCGATTTTTTGAACGACACCATCAAGAATTCTGTTCATTATTGTCTCATCGGGATGGTTGAGCTCTAAATTACGGATTTTCTGGATAACTTTGAACAAAATTCCGGCATCATTGACCAAATACGATTCCATACTGTTATTTATTGATATTAACTTCTTGTTTTTCCTGTTCAATGCTCTGAGAAGTAAAATAATGCACAACAAAGTCAAAAATCCTGCAACACTCAAATAAATCAAGAAAACTTTGGAAGTTTCCCAAAGAGAAGAGCTGATGAGTTGCGTGAAGTCACATATAACAACAAGATGGTGGAAAATCGAATATGTAATGCGAAGAGGAATAATTGAAATGATATTTGTATTTCCATTGCTTATAACAGTAGATAATGAATACCTATGATCAAGTTCATTGACTTTGTTGATAATTGTGTCATTTCCATACGTTGGAGAGGAAAGTAAAGAATTATTAAATGTTGGTGATGAAATTATCGAATGATTCTCTTGATCAAAGAAGGCGTAGTAGCTTTGACTTAGGAGAGTATGGTTCGAGAAGTGGTTTGAAAATTCTTCGAGATTTATATCGATTTTCGTTGTTATGGTTAAATTTTGAGAATGCTCGATCGTTGAGATTGTAAATAATTTCATGCCTGGATTTTCTTCATCCTCATGAACTAATGCTGTATCAGCAGCCTGAGATTTATAAAATTCTTCTGTATTAACGTATTTTGCATCATAACCATAGTTCAAAATGTCGATCGTTCGCATGAACTCATAAGAACTGAACTGTCGAACAATGGAATACGTGTCGTTATAAGTAACCAAAGTTGTAAAATTATAACTGTACATATTTTGATCCCATTTGATTTGATAGTAGTAAGAGTTTGGTGCCACTAGTGTAATTGAATAAGGCTTTGGTTTCAATGTTCGATGCACTTGTCTATTGTAATTTATAAAAGTTGAAATTTTCTGTTTATCTGTTTTAAGGAACCGGGATAAGATTATAGTTCTGGAAAGGAATGAAGCACTCATAAATGGCAAATCCGATAAAATAAATTGAAACAGAGACAATCGCAAGGAATTTAATGAAATTTATTTTCACTTTGAGCTTTGATCGAGTCATATAGTTTGGTGTCGGAGAGGCAACTGGCATTTCGAGGCTCATTGCAGAGCTACTCGAGTCCTCCATTCAATCGATAAAAATTTGAATAGTTTTGTAAGGAAAAATATTTTTGATGAATTATACTATACTAATGAATCTGGGCATTTGTTATTTTCGGTATAACTGTTTTTTGAAAATTTGATTTTGGTTAAAAATACTAACATATAAGAATACACCAAAATAATGTTTGAATTAAACCTTTTCCCCGAAAAAAAAATTCTAAAAACATTGATTTTAATAGACCTAACAAATAATAGATCATACATACTACTACCATTTTAAGAATTATAAATTCTGATAGTGTTTAGAATATTTTGAATAATTATTCAAATTTTGAACAATAATTCAATTAATAAATACTGAATTAAAAAGTCATACATAGTTATTTTGTAGCTTTATGGATTCGGTATTATTTAATTATTTTTTATGTATATTCAATTTTTCAAGATTGAATTTTCTCGAAAATTCTGCTCTCAAAAAATGACAATAAGATTAGTATTTTTCATTAGAACGATCAATATTGATTATACACTTTTAGATTTCCATTTTATTTTTAAGATGCTATCGATTTAATTTCATTAGAATATCAATGACAACTATCTCATTAATATGGTTCTTTTTCCTTTTTATAGAATTTTACCACCAATTGTTCAATTTTGATTAAATTAATAAACTTGGAAAAGCAAAGCAGAAAAAAAATTAACAGATAGTATCATGATGAATTTATTTGACTTAAGATAAACAAACAAAGAAATATAAAATCATTCAAATGTTAAATGCGCTCTGTTCTTAATAGCTAGTTGTGACTTTCTAATTATATTTGGGCCTTGTAATAGACTGGCAGGGAAATGTCGTGCAAACGGCTGTTTTCTCATTTCATTAACGGAATTGGCTTTATCAGCATGCTGCAATACTCTTTCAACTGTAATCTTTTGAAGGGATATTTCAGGAGTTACTTTAAATATGGGTTCTTTTTCAATTCCCATTGTTAATCTAAAAATTTGCTTATTGTTATTTTTCTTAGAGGATTGGTCATCTAAAAGTTCTTTCAATTCTTCCAACCCATTATTTTGTATTGGTGTAATTGGCTTGAAAATTTTTGGTCCAAAGATTGTTGAAAGAGGAGTAGTATAATCGGAATCTTCGTCGTTAACTGGTGTTTCTGGAAAATTGTTTATTCCCATTGAGAGAAAATCAATTGGTTGCTGTAAAAATAATTCTTGATTTTGAACCTTTCTCTTTTTAACAGTAGGTTGAATTGAAACGGAGTTTGCAAGAGGAATTGGTTCACGCACGTTCGTCGATCGACGTGCATGAATTACTCTCATAAATCAATTTTCAAAAAATAATCTTGTCACTTTTTATTTCGTTTTTATGTATAAAAAGTGACATTTTTATCCTTTTTTTATATTTCATTTTCTATATTGCAATTAAGTTTAACTATCTTAGTAGATAAAAATTAGTCATGTGAATATGATTTTTAAAGATGATTTTAAAGGATCTTATTGAAAATATCTTCGATTGTATCACTTTCAGATGAAAATTATGAGCACATCTGGATGTAGTTCGCATCCTTTGATTGTGTAAATGCTCTAATTAAATTAAGATCATTTTGCAGAAATTTTCGATTGTATCTCTATCTGATGAAAGGGATGAATGGATCTGGATATGGTTCGCATCATTTCTCTTCGTGAATGCTCTAATTATGTTAAAAAAATTGAGATAAATTTTTGAAAAATAAATATTATACATGTAGTTTAAATTTTATTCGAAATAATAAAGTTTATGATACTCTTCACCTTAATATTTTTAACCAGATAATACAAGAGTGACGGTATCTCCGTCCATCAGCTCGTGCCTAAGTCCAACCTGACCAGGACTGTGCTTAACAGACTTACCAGACACCCAAGCGAGTTTGAATCTCTCTACAATTGATGTATGGATCTTATTGCAGAAATCTTCGATTGTATTTCTATCTGATGAAAGGACGAGTGGATCTGGATCTGGTTCGCATCCCTTTGGCTGTGTAAATACTCTGATTAAGTTAAGGTCTTTCCAAATTGCTTCGACTAGCTCTTTCAAGTTATAACCTGAGAAAGCGGAAACGCACATTGTGTGGTCACGCAAAGCAAGAGCAGCAGTGTATTCTGGCCAAAGCTGATCGCATTTGTTAATAACGTAGATGCATTTAATATAAACACGATTTCCTTCGAGAACATCGATTAAATCATCAATTGTAGCTACCTGGTCGAAGTGAACGACAGCGTGCTGGATTCTGTATTGTGTTTTCATGATTTCTTCGACAAGTTCTGTAGTGATATATGGTTGTTCAACACTAGAAGTAATTGCGTATCCGTTTCTATCACGAATATCAACACGGATCTTTGGTGGCTGCTTGTTTAATTTAATACCGTAGCCAGCAAGTTCTTTCTCAAGAATTTTAACAAGATCAAGTGATTTCATACCATCAAGAACCATGAGAATAAGGGAGCATGTTCTTGCAATAGAAATGACTTGTTTACCACGACCATAGCCGTCAGCAGCGCCTTCAAGAATACCTGGAAGATCGAGAATCTGAATTTTAGCTCCGTTAATGTTGAGAATGCCAGGAACTGGTGTAAGTGTTGTGAATTCGTATGCAGCAACTTTAGATGATTGACCTGTGAGTGCATTAAGAAGAGTTGATTTACCAACAGATGGGAAACCAAAAAGACCGATACGGGCATCACCGGATCTCTTAACTTCCCATCCTTGACCTGGGCCACCAGCTTTTCTTGTGGCAGCTTCAAGAATATCCCTTTTCATGCGAGCGAGACGAGCTTTGAGAAGACAGATGTGGTGCATTGTAGCTTTGTTGATCTGTGTTCTAGATAACTCAAGCTCGATGGCATCAATCTTCTCCTGGATTTTCTTTGTTTCACTCATTTTGGCTCTATAAAACGGTTTGACAAATCAAAGATCTGGGGATATTTTTATGCCCATCGAGAAAAAATTTCTTTTACTTTTGTGATTTGTTGAATGACGTTCAAGAATGATATTTGTTCCTTTATTTTCTTCTTCTTAGTGAGATGATTGTTTGTCCTACGCCTTAGTTTCTTGATCTCGGACTTCTTAAACTGATTTGCATGACACAAATCATTTAATGGTTGAGTATTGATTTTCGAATATCTAATCGATTTTGTTATTTTGAAATTCATGATGTCATTCAAGCCTCTATTGAAATTGATTTATAATTTGCCCAAACTAATGATGTTTTAAAAAATTATGATACATACAAGTTGATAGGATCATTGTTGTTTTTTTCCCAGATTTTATTAAAAGAAAAAATGTTCGCCTTTTGATTGAAAGCATTGTTTCACCACTTCATAAAATGATTATTCTTATTCGAATTCAGTCTAGTGAAATTTTGAGAATGAATCAATGAATTTTCTGGTGTCTCTAAAATTCACTGAAGAAAATGCATCAAACGAATACTGTAGCAGGTCTTAAGAAGCCAAAACTTAGTGAAAATCAAGTAATAAACAAAGATATGAAAGAATATGGACTCAAAAGAAGTTAAATTGTTTTGCTGTAACCACCATTACGGAACAAAGCATTTGAGCTAACAGATCACTGATCAATTTTCGTCCAAAATTAAAATTATTGAAAAAGAGAATTTGGTGATTATTGTAAAGAAAACTAATATTTTTATGCATATTTCATTGTCGAAATATAATTTTATTTGAAAGTTGAATCCGTAGCAAATTTTCTATCGTAAATTTTCAATAATTTCTTTTGAAAACTCAATAAAAAAATGGATCTTAAAGTGAATCACAATGATGATGACGAGCGTAATATTCCTGTATCAGAGGAGATAACAATGGTCCAAGAAGAAGAGGATATTTCAACTTTAAATCAAGAAAAATTAGCACGTTTTGCACTCATTAAGCAGTATATAGAAAAATTTGTTAACAATCAGTGTATTTGCTGTGAACTTTTGTCGGAATTCAAATATGAGCCAGAGTATCAAAGTCTTCTTAACAATATTAACGAAGAATGCGTTTTATCAAACGTACATCAATTTTTAGAAGTTTTCGATAAGAATACTAAAGAAAACAATGCTTTAACAAAGTACTGGCATCTTCTTCTTGCCTTATTTATTCAACAAATTCCATTAAATGTCATTGAAGAGTATGTTATTCCTTATTGCAATGAAAATTACAATAAACCAGGAGTAGGAAGGTTAATAATGGATTTAATGAATATAGATTGCATACCTTCCGATGTTATTGTTCCGATCGCATTTAAATTAAGCGGTATTGAATTTGTACAAGCATATATTACAATAACGTTCACATACCCACACGTTTTACTTAATATTCCTACTTTCTACCAAAGATTGATCGAGATTGACGACCCAGAAATTTTAGTAGCCATTAGACGAAAGTTTACACCACAACAAATCGTGGAATACGGAACGCAGGAATTTGTTTTGAACAAATTAAGCGAAGAAAGATCGTGGCAAGCTCCTGGATTGAAATTCCTTCAATTCACAGCTCAAGACATTGGAAATTTTGATGAAATTGGATTGAAGATATTCGAGTTATCAGGTTCTTATAGAATATGGATCAAAGAAACGATGATAAATTATTTTCATCATTTCTTACATGATTTTAGCAATGAATTCCTTGCCATTCTCGAGCACAATGGCTTCTTACCAATGATATTCGATTTAACTGAAGGAATTCTCACTCCTCAAAATTTAATCAAAACATTAGAGATTTTGACTTACTTTTTAGGGAGATTCAAAGACCATCTCATTAATCTGTACAGCGAACACATGGATATCCTTATTGACTACGCCACAAACTCGAATGACGAAGATGTCACCCGCCTTGCAGAAAATATACTGAAAATGATGGAAAGTATAACTGGTGAGTCATACATTTAAACGATTTTTTCTATTTTGTTTGATAATTAATAAAATATTATATTATTCAAAAAAAAATCCAGTTTTAATAGTTTAATACTCATATTTTGTATAATGAAAATATATATTATTCTGCTAACTATTGAAATTGAAAGAATAAATTTGAAATTATATTAAATCACTTCCTTTTCATATGGGTATTTCTCTCATGCAAACCTTTTGATATAAATTGATACTATCTTCTAATAAATCAGAAATAAGGATATTGTAAATAACATTTAATCCCAATTAATTAAAAATATAGATTAAATAACTGAAATCTAGTTGTTTTGAATTATTTCATGCCCAATGCAAATGAACTCAAACAATTCATAATGATAATTTATATTTAGCCCGGTCAAACAAGTATTTAAAATAATTTTTTGAGATGATTCAATGCGAGACAGAAATTAACGTCCTTCAATGATTTACTCAATCTAAATATATTGCTATAATCTTCGTCAATTTTTTATCTTCATTGCGGACAACGACGATAGGTAAACAAAATTTTTGTCATTATTCCATGAAGGATGAAGATTACTTGGAACTACTTAACTTGAATAAAGATTATATTGACATCATGAAAACATTATATACATTAAATACTGTGGAAGAAGATGAGATTAACAATCTTTTAAAAGACATCGAAAATAAATTGATCAGTACAAATATATTGGCACCATCAGTGATTTGTAAAATCATCTCAAAAGCATTACGTTACAATAATTGTTGCATGAAATCATATTGGATTTTATTCAAAAAGATTGTTGAGCAATACAATTTATCAAAAATATCTGGGCTTTCAGGTATAATTCCCAATTTTGTTTGCAAAGAAGATGGAGCAATCATCAAAGGAAAATATTTTAATGATGACTCGGCATTGAACAAAATTTATGATTTTCTGTTTGAAAAAGGCACAATTTTTAGAGCAATTATGACTGATAATGTAAAATCATGCATTGCCATTTCCCAAATAGATGACTTTTGTACAAAGTATTCAATTAACTCAAAAAAATTATTTCCATATTCAAGGTATAGTAATGTATATTCACTACTTGAAATATGTTGCTATTATGGGGCTGTTGATTGTTTTAAATATTTTAGAACAGAATTCAATTTACCAATCACCGATTGCTGTCTTGCATTTTCATTTTTAAGCGGGAAACCAGATATATTGAATGAATGTTTAAAATACGAGCGGCCAGGTGAAAAATGTCTGAAATATGCAATTGCTTCTCATAATATTGATTTTGTTACATTTTTATTGAATGAACACAAAATAATTTTATGGAACTTGTGTAAGTACGTAATTGAATTTAATAATTTCCAAGCCTTCTTAGTTTATACTAATCGCTCAGATTCTATAGAAAAATGTTATAATGATTCACTACATTTTAATAGCCCTTCACTATGCCAATATATTCTTTCATTAGGAGTTGATATCAATGCTAAATTAGGATATAATGAAGAGACCGCATTGCACATTGCTTATAAAAAATGTCGTATGGAAATATTGGAATTCCTTATTTTACTTGGGGCTAACATCAATGCAAAACTCAAATACCATGGGGGAACAGTCCTTCATATGGCAGTTCAAGATAATAGAAAGGATAAAGTTGAGTTTTTTATTGCGCATGGAGCTGATATCGAATCGAAAGATGTACCAGATGGGAGAACATCACTTCATTTAGCAGTGCAAGACAATAACAAAGATATGATTGAATTACTATTATTGCATGGTGCCAAAATCAATGCAAGAATTAAAGAATCATGGAAAACAGCTATTCACATAGCAGTACAAAATAATAGAAAGGATATCGTAGAATTTTTGTTACAGCATGGTGCTAATATTAATTTTAGAGATTATGATAAGAAATCTGCTCTTCATATTGCAGTTGAAAACGATAATATCGAAATGGTTCAATTTCTTATTTCAAATGGTGCTGATATTAGAGCTAAAAATATCGGTGGAGATGATTTGCTTCACGTTGCAATTCAGAATAATTCTGTAAAAACGGCAAAATATCTAATTTCAAAAGGAATTGATATTAATACAAGAGATGGTTTCGGTAAAAGAACACCGCTTCAACATGCTGTTTGGATCGAAAGTATAGAGCTAGTGGAACTGTTGTTATCACTTGGTTCTGATATCAACGTAAATGAAGATGGTTTAACACTCCTTCATTTTGCTGCAATCACTAACAAAAATAAAGAAATCACAGAGATTCTCATTCGGCATGGTTTGGATATAAATGCAAAATGTGAAAATGGAATGACTCCATTACTTGTTGCTACGAAAGTAAATAATACAGAAGTTTCTAAAGCTCTTATTCTTACTGGTGCGGATATCAATTCGAAAAATAGTCGCAATAATAAAACAGCTCTTCACTATTCTTCTGCAAATAATAATACAGAAATTGTTGAACTCTTACTGACTGGTTATATTGATATCAATGCAAAAGATAGTAAAGAAATGACGGCACTTCTTTTTGCTGCACTTAATAAGAATGCCGAAATGGTAGAACTTCTAGTATCACATGGTGCCGATATGTATGCGAGAAGGAAATATTTTGGAACTACTCCTCTTCATATTGCAGCCCAATTGAATGACATAAAAACAATAGAAACACTTATTTATCATGGAGTGGATATCAATTTTAAAGACTATTCAGAATTCACAGCACTTCATTATGCAGTAAAAATGTTTCATAAAGAATCGATGGAATCCTTAATTTTGCATGGAGCAAATATCAATGTAAGAGACAATAAAGGAGAGAGTCCACTTCATTACACAATTGAGCAACGGAATAAAGATACACTTGAATATCTTGTTTTGCATGGTGCAGATATAACTGCAAGAGACAATAAAGGGAAAACAGCCCTGCATTATTCTTCAAAGTGGTATGGAGGTATTAAAAATATGGAATTTCTTGTATTGCATGGAGCTGATATAACTGCAAAAGACAATAAAGGAAAAACTGCACTGCATTATTCAGCAAGTCGTAGCGATTCAAAAAGCAATTTTCTTATTTTGCATGGCGCTGATATCACTGCAAGAGACAATGAAGGGAAAACTGTGCTGCATTATGCAGCATGCCATTCTGAAAATAAAATAATGAATTATCTTATTTTGCATGGTGTTGATATCAATGCAAGAGACAATGAAGGACTAACTGCACTGCATTATTCAGTACAGCCATGGGGAAATGAAGCTATGGAATTTCTTGTTTTGCATGGTGCTGATATAAATGCAAAAGACAGTAAAGGAAAAACCGCCCTACATTATGCAATAAGCAGAAGTGATTCAAAAAGTGACTTTCTTGTTTTGCATGGTGCTGATATCAATATTAAAGATAATGAAGGCAAGACTCCTTTATGCAATGCATCTAAAGATTATATGAAACATATTGGAAATCTCATGAATTCACATAATATGTTGAATTAAAGTGTATTTTTATACAAATTGCTAATAAGTGAACCCATAAAAATTTAGTGCAAAATCTTAAAAACATATAAATATAAATACGTGATGATAAAAAAATTCTTTATATCATATTTGTCGAAGACATTCTATGATCAACAGAGGTATTATAATAGCAAAAAATAGAACTTAGTTATTGTATGTTCTATAGAAATACAAAAAAAATTTTCTATTGATACATGAATCATTATAATAATAAATGTAAAACTCAAAATTGAGGCGTTCAATTTGGTTGTTTTCTTCGAATGATGATGCATTATAGTAGCCTGACTCTGCATCAAGGAAACTATCGATTAATGAAAACTTAATGGTTTTGTTATGAACTGGATTTGCATCTATTTAATATCGAATTTTTAGATAATGTGGTTATATATAATAATATTTAGGTTTGTATATGTAAATGTTCGGATTTTTCAGATAAATTATGGGTGCACTTATCACCTTCTGACATTCACTCAAATTTTTGACATCCAAACTTTATATCCACATTTTCAATGTTAAAAAAACTAATATTATTGATCGCGAAAAAGTTATTTATGACATAGTGAACTCTCATATATAGTATCGAATTAAAATACCGTTTAATACGCTTATTCCAACAATAAGTATTGTTATTACAGATGTAAAAAAAATATTCATTTCAAATATCCTCAATTTTTGACTTTTGCAACTTTTTCATGAACTTGCAGAAAATGCACATCAAAAATATCGTGCCCAAGTTATCGACAATTTACCACCAGAGCTCAATATTGTTAAAGACATTTTAACACGCAAACTCCTTTTACAGAAATATTTAGATTTCCTCTTCCAGAAAAACAAAAATGATATTCATGTCCTTATTTCCCTTAAAGATTCACTTGATACAGCCCGCTCAATCATCCATACATCCGTAACTATTGCCTATTCTTACATGTACGCTGGAGTTGGCGATGATAATTTCTTCAGAGTCAATTTGAACTGGTTTATCACGACACGTAAGTGGGCTCAGTTCACAACCGCCGCTGCAGTCGGAGCCATCCATGTTGGCCACCTAGAAGACGCTCTAAAAGTTCTGACATCTTTTTTGGTCAAAGAAGCTCCCGAACATGTCACAGGCGGTGCCATTTATGCTCTTGGCCTCATCTATGTCAACTACAGATGGGACAAAGCCATTCTCAACATTGTTACAGAGAAATTAGAATCATCCTCTCAGAAAACATCGTACGATCAGACCAACAAGCCTCTATATGTCATCCAGCATGGTGCATGTCTTGCTCTTGGCCTCATCTCCCTCGGCAGCCGCGATACTTCTCATTATAATTTATTATTAAAAGTTATAAGGGAAGATCATCCCGAACCAGGTGAAGCTGCCGGATACGCTCTTGGCATGGTCATGCTCGGCAGTGGCAGCCAGGAAACCATTGACGAGATGATCAGAATCTGCGAAAACACCGAACACGAGAAAATCATGCGAGGCATTGCGATGGGCCTTGGATTTGTCCTCTACGGATGCGGCGCCAGAGCAAACGACACTATCCAGCGAATGCTCGACAGCAGGCAGCCTCTCATGCGCGAAGGAGCTGCATGGATCATCGCACTCGCAAACATAGGAAATGCTTCAAATGACGCTTTGCAAAAACTTCTTAATATCGCTGTGAGTGATGTAAACGATAATGTTAGAAGAGCGGCTGTCATTGGCATTGGATTTGTTTTGTCTCGTCGTCCAAAGGAAGTTCCCTCAATGATCAACCTCTTGGCGCAGAGCTACCACGCACACGTGAGGGCAGGAGCGGCACTTGCAATCGGAATTTCATGCGCTGGAACAGGAAATTCAGAGGCAATTGAAGTGTTGAAACCGCTTTTGAACGATAACGAAGATGCTGTTACACAGAATGCTATGATAGCCATGGCCATGGTCTTGATGCAGCAGAGTGATGCGAGAGTCCCGTACGTCAAGGAGTTCAGGACATTCTTGAGACAGATGACATCGAGAAGGCGCCAGGAAATGCTTATTTTCGGTACTTGCTGCGCTTGGGGAATTTTAAACGCTGGAGGAAGAAATGTTGTCATTTCTTGCAACTCATTGCGTGGTGAGAACTCTGTATCTGCAACAGTGGGTCTTGCAATGTTCTGCAACCACTTCTTCTGGCATCCACTAGCTCTAATGCTGCCTCTTTCATTCCATCCAACTTCAATAATCGGTTTGGATGAAAATTTGAATGTTGTAAACTGGAGAATGAGGTGTAATGCTCCTAAAGCTGATTTCGACTACCCACCTGACTTCCAGGAGGAGTCGAAGAAGCAAATGGCAATGCCTGTGAAGCTATCAATTTCTGGGCAACAGACTCAACAACAACAACAGTTTTTCGATGAATCAGATTCTGATAAAAGTGACGAAAAAAGTGACGAAGAAGGAGACAAGAACTGCCAGATCATCGAGAATATGAGTAGAGTAACACTGTCACAGCTCCCGTATATCGATATAGAATACGAAAAGAGCTATACACCAATAATTGGCCATGTGACTCATGGATTTATCATGTTAAAGAAGAATACTAAATAAAAATATTATGTTTATTGTATAAAAACAAAAATCATATGTTTACTCAATGCAAATATCTATATATATTTTAGCATAATTGGAAATTAAGCTATATATTTATATGGCCAAGCCTTCCCTCAATTTTGAGAACTTTTACCGCGGGTTTACATCTTACGGATTTTGCCAGGTAAAATTCAAACCCATCATTGGTAGTTTACTGGCAAGGCGATTCAATTTTGAAAGCAGGTTAGTAAGTAAAATATGGCTTATTTTTTAACTATGTTATGTGAAGATATATTTCTCATCTTTGTACTACTATATGTTTTTGATACTTAAAAGTACACTGTATTTTGTGAGGGTAAGGTATAAATAAGAAAACATGGTGTCATCTCTTGCATTTTTATTTCATTGAAAATTTGGTGTTATATTGGTGCATTTATTGATGTCGTATAGATATTTAGAGAATAGTTGATGTTGACGTATTATACAGGACATAATGTATAAATTTATCAAGTTAATTTAGTTAAACATCATCATCTACTTTTGATATATTAGAGATTTCTAACACGCTTATGAATTTTTGGTTATATAGGTGGAGTTATTTGAGCTAATGAATTTTACATGAAAAATATGAATGCATTTCATAATTATATGATTTTTAAGCTATGTAATACTTTATAAATAAGCAAGCATGATTAAAAGTGAATCCTCAGATGGTGATGCTGTTTGTTCTTAAAAAAAATACATTATTTTGAAGGTTTAAATTTTTGTTTCTAAGTGATGCTATGTTTTATAAGTAAGGATATTATTTTTTAATATTTTATCATTATCTATAATTATTCTCTATTCTGTTTTGTCTTCCAAAAAGTATTCTTTCACAAAGCGCCATGCGACATCAAGAGCAGTCTTACCATTTTTATCTTTTGCTTCTTTATCGGCTCCAACTGAGATAAGATATTTAACAACTTCAAGATGACCATCCATTGATGCATAAATGAGTGGAGTACATTCCTTTTATTCTTTGCTTCTTTATCGGCTCCAACTGAGATAAGATATTTAACAACTTCAAGATGACCATTTTCTGTTGCCCAAATGAGTGGAGTACATCCACAAAAATTATCCTTTGCTTCTTTATCGGCTCCAATTGAGATAAGATATTCAACAACTTCAAGATGACCATATTCTGATGAAAAAATGAGTGGTAAGCCCAAAGATTCTACATTATAGTTACCGTTCTCTATAATAGATTTAATACGTTCGAGATTTCTTTCTTCGCATGCTTTAGTAAGGGGATTTTCAAGATAACCTTTTTGTGATGCACGAATGAGTGGTAAACCTAAAGAGTTTACTTGTTTATAGTTACCATTCTCAAACAAAGATTTAATACGTCCGAAGACATTAAAATTTTTGACTATTTAAAAAAAAATAAAAAACTAGCAATTGCTACTACACTCATTATATACACAATTCAATTTTTTTCCACAATTCAATTCAATTTTTTTCACAATTCAATTTTTTTCCACAATTTGAAAAATCCGTGATGTGATTCGGAGTGATATTGGATGGAAATAATTGGGGCAATATCAGATACTGTAGCTTTGAAATACTATATTGGATATTAACATTTAATAATTAAGATTAAGCTGAAACAAATCAATATTTTTCATTTCTTAAATGCATAATGCTATTTTTCAAAAAATAAAAAGTCTATTTTCCATAAGAATATATATAAAATTTTTATTTTATCGATAAGGTCACAGTAAGCTCCAGTTTTAAGGAAGTGGATACTTTAAATTTTTTGACTACTTAAGTATGGTTGCCGATTTAGACAATTTTTAAGAAATTTCCAAAATCGAGAAAATCATTCATACTCAAGCCATCCATTCTCTGAATTTTGCTCTCACATCAACCAATTGCGAGGAGTTTACAAATGCCAACCAAATTATTGTGATCTAAAATGTGAGTTTTCATAACTTTTTGTTGACTCATGTAGCTCAATGCTTATCAAATCTACATTTTCTTTTGGTATATATATAAATTCTCCAGGTCAGCATATAAAAAGAATCAAAATTACTGAAGTATAAAAAACACGTTTTTTTAACTTTTCAAAAGATTTTCATCGGTGTAATCTAAATTTAAAATAGAATGTCAGATAGCTCAGATCAAAATATTGAGGACTCAGTCGAAGATTCCGCAGATATGAAGGGGAACGACTCATCTGATAGTGATAAGGAGTTGAAGCTTGATGATTTGACACCAAAAGCGAAAAAGAGCTCTGGAGACGGAAAAATAGTTGAATCTCCAAAAGAGGCAAAGAAAGAGACCAATGGTGAAGAAGAGGATGGATCTGGAGAGGAAGAAGATGAATATGATGATGAAGTTTCTATTAGCGATTCGGATGAAAATGAAGGAAGTTTTATTGATGCAAAATATGATTTCGATAATCCTCCGCCTGTTTTACGATTCCAATACTCTTCTATTTGCGCTACTTTAATAAGGGCCGTTAATTTGTTCAGAGCTTCTCATAAACTTCCTCCTATTGTAGAATCAATTGATCTAAATCGAATTGCGATGAAACACTCTCTCGCAATGGCGAAAATGGAGGTAAAATTTACTAATGCTCCAATTAAAGAAGAAATCAGCGATCTCCCATTTCCATTTTATTACGCATATGTATCTCGAAGTGATTCACCAAATCACGCATTTTTAGACGTTACTAACGAATGGGCATCTGAGCCAGGAATCTCCGCAGCTCTTCTGTCCAAAGTCAATACAATTGGATGTGGTATGGCATCAACAGCACAAAAAACCACTTTCTTTACAGTTATCGTTGCTGTCAAATCTTATATTGGAGATTCCCATCTTGTTGGCGATGAGCTAAGGAGTTTCTTGTTGGGCCAAAACTGTCTCGAAATTGTCAACAATATACGCGAAAAATACGATTTACCGCCTTATTTATGGAGCGATCAATTAGCAACGTTAGCATATAAATTCAGTCAGACAGATCCAACAAAAATTACCCAGAAATTCATTTCTACACGTATACCGAGCGCTTCTTCGAGCCACGTCGACTTCGGTAAATTTGAGTTCGAAAAAGCAAATCCCAAGACGATTGTTTCAGAATGGATGCAGCAGACATACCATGTCGATGCATTGTTGGGAGAATTCAACAGAATCGGTATTGGGTTTGTTATTAAGAAAAATTGTTATTTTTCAGTTCGTATCGTTACAAGAAGCATTTACGCGTCAATTATTGATGGATCAGAGAACTTAGTGGATCATTCCATACTAGCAAAGCATATTGCTGAAGAAATGAACGAATTTAGAGAACAGCATTCTTTAGAAAAGCTGTCATTTGATGACAACCTGTTTAAAGTTGCTCAGGATCATGCAGAATTTATTGCAAATGGTCAGGAAGGTATTAATCCAATCGAAGACGACTTTTACAAAAATGTTGTTGAACCACGTTATAAATTATGCGATATCAGCCATACTACTTGCAAAGAAATGCTTAGAGCTCCAAAAGAAATTATGAGGAAGTGGAGAAATAACACAGATTGTGTTTCTGTTCTTCTAAATCAAGTAGATGACATTGGTGTAGGAGTTTGCTTCGATGAAGATTACGTATGCCACGTAACGACTATTATATGTGATAGAGGTGACCATGGAGATGTTGTTAATAAGATTGTTAGCTTATAAAAATATTTAATTTGTTTTTCTTTTAAATAATAGTAACATTTTTATTTACGAACAAATTGATTGTAACAAACAAAAAGTATAAAATCGTTTCTTTCTTTTTTTTTTCCTAATAAATGTTGATAATTGATAAAAAAAAACATGATTGATTGTAGTTAACTAAAAAATGTTGGAGTTTGTTCATCATTCTCTTCCCTTTGCTTTCGAAGTTCTTTAACTAAAGCTGCCAAAGCTTCTGGATTAACTCCAGCTTCTGTAAGTTCAAGCAAAATGGATAATGTTTCGCGGTCAAGTCCTGTTTCAAGAATATTTGAAAGTTCGTGGAGTGAATCAAGGAGCTGAGCCCTTTCGTTGTTCATTTATTTTTTTATTTTTTTTTAGAATAAAAAAAGTGGACGTTTAAAAATTCATTGGGACATCGATTTATGTATGATTCTTCAAAGAAACAGACCTAATAATATTTGTGATTCATATTTCGCCATATATTCTCATTATTAATAAGTTATAAATTATCAGTGAAGTCTGCTTCTAGATTCATAATTTTTTCATTATCTCCTCGAACTTCAGTATTTTTCAGCAAAGGCATATATTATTTCATTATATATAGCATGTTATATAAGATCTCAGATGCTGGATGTATTGATAAATCTAAGATAAGATAATATTTAGTATTTGAGTGTAGTTGCACCAACTTTTTTTGTTCATATTTTTGAGGCGATAAAACGTCTCAAACATTAACAAATGCAAATCAAAAGCAATAGATTCGCCTATATGCTCAATCAAGAACTGGAAAATCATGAGTCATTGAACCAGCTCTAAAAACATGATTACCTGCAAAGTTTTTTCGTTTGTAATTTTAGTTAAAAAACAAAACATAGTATATGTATATGATTTATGATAATTCTAATTTAATGCTCAATTCAATTTTGCCCAAAAATTTAAAATTATCATCTCGAAAGAACTAAGCATAACAAAGCCGAATTAACAAAAAATCGATGATGATAATTTTAATTTATATAAAATCTATATAGAAAATTTTTAAGCAAGAAATTCATCGAAAAGATTTGGATTTTGTTTCATAAGGCAGAGGGATTCCTTCAGTCTTTCAATTTCCCTAAGTCCTTTCTTGTGAGCCTCTTTATGGCGCTGCTCAAATTCGGGTTTTTCTGTATACTTGAAAACAACTCTGTTTTCGTTTGTAACTTTGTCCTTTGTGTTTGTAGCAAGACGGTCGAAGATTGTTTTGAGGTCTGAGCTTTGAATACTGAATAATGCTAGGAATTTCTTGATTAATGCTGGAGTCAAGTATTTCTTATATGAAAAGATGACAATTGCAAAGTTTCTTGCAGCACGTAAGTTGACAGGAAGCTCTGTAGACCTGATTTCTTCAGATTTAATAACCCAGCGACTTTGAACGTAATATGCGTACTTAAACAGGACATCAAGCAGTTCCTCGGAGTATGCCGTCAATATAAGGCTCTGAACAACATCATCAAAGAAAATTGTTCTATTCTTATAAAGGACGTAATATAATTGCTCGCGTGGTGGTCTGGATGAAAGGGTATTCTCACTAATCTGCTCAATAAGGTCAGCGGAGAAGTCACACCTCATTCCAGTCAAATTATCTTTATATGTGAGGGCACTCATCTGCGAGGAGACATCTGTCGCTGCTTTAGATGTAAATTTGGTAATATCGGTTCCTTCTGTAAAGTCTATTGCTTTGGAATCTGGTTCTTGGTCTTTCGCCGTTGTTGTTTCTTCTTCGAATAAATCAGATGGTCTTGCTTGATAAATAGAAGTAATTGGCGTCAAATGGACTTGCCCGTCGCGAATAACGCCTAACGCAAATGGTTGTGGTGAATAAATTTTATTTGTTTGAAGGTAATGTGATTTTAGATCCATACCTGTATAAATATCTTGTGGTGGAGCAACCATAATCTTGTAAGATTTGTTTTTAGAGTTAAATGAGACTTGCTCGATATTTGGGCAGCCCTCTTTACGACTAACAAGTGGAAACTGAATGATGAGACTCTTTGTTGACATATCTGATGACAAAAAGAGATCCATCTCAGATACTACTGGGTCATCAGAATCAGACATCAAAAGTGACAACTTAAAATTCAATTTGAATTTCTGCCTTCTTAAATTAACAATTTTGTATACTTTTTTTACGGGCGCTTTAGCGCCCAAAAAGTATATAAAATTGGAATTATCTAGATTATGATTATTTTTGCTTCTAATGCCGAACAGCATTTGAATCAAAAATAATCATAGTATAGATAATTTGAGTTTTCGAGTTCTATATTGATGTGATCTTTTGCATAAATGAATACTTTATGTGAAAGAATCGTCTCATTATTAGACGAATTCAACTATATTTTGATCCATAAATCGATAAACAAGCTATTTCCTTCTATAACAAGCTTGTGTTCTTAGTGCTGACAGAAATTTCAATTGTGTTTTTAGTTTAAAATTCATATATAATGCAAATATTCGATTTATACAATTGATTCAATTTTGCACGAAAATTGAATAATGGTAAGGAACAATACACCTGAGTTGATAATTTCTCTGTCTATATTTGCATCTTAGATCAAAATTTCAGATTTATTTTCGAGAGAAAAATATTAATTCATGGTCGGAAGACCATATTATAATTATTAAATGTAATTAAAACATTTATCGTAAGAAACAATAAATCATGGCTATTGCATGAAAAATATATCAAAATAAAATAAAAATTATTCATAAGGAATATTATTTGCATGCGCCCACTTAAGGAGCTCACTTCCAGTCTGTGTTGGGGCGCTGTCAATTGACTTTCTCATTGAAAGAATTGTCAAATGTTTGAAAGTGTATTCGTTTAGCAATCTGAGCTGCTCAAACTGCTTTTTAAGCATTGTATTGATTAAATCATTGACAGATTTAGTTTTACCCCAGAATTTATGTTCGACAATTTCACAAAAGTTGGAGTAATAAAGATCTTCTGTATCAGCTATCATCATGTTGCAATGTTCGAATAGATCTACTTGAAGTTTTGAACAATTATGAACTGCTTCTGAGCATAAATAAAGAATATGATGCAAATATGACAATCTTGTGAGAGATGGATTTGAAATAAGTTCTGTTTGCTTATAGGAGCATGCAAGCAAAAAAGCATGTACCATAAGTTCTACATATGTAGTTGATATTTTTGGATTCTCTAATTTTGATATTAAATGATCCACAACTGGTTGTGCTTCTTCGAGAGTTGCAAGGTCAAATTTAGGAAGTATTGTTTTTGTGAATTTTGAATATGTATTGAATGATTCAGAATCAAATTCCTCAATCTCTGGAGAAAAAGTAGGACTTATTGGAGCAAGAGGGTTTGGAATTTTGTCTAAACGAGGGATCTCAAGCGCGGCATCGGCAGTCTCTGAGGCCTCGCCGAAGACGGCGCTGCTCTCTACACTCATAACGTGTAAAAAATTTAGGGTTGTTAAAAATATCAAAAATTAGCGTTTTGAAGACACCATGGTGTCTTATAATTTTCCCTTCCTTATTGGCGTGTAGAAATAAATGCGCCAATAGATTGAAGAAGAAGAATTGTTTTTCTCTTAATGAACTTTAATCCTTTTGATATAAGAATATTAAAAACATTAATATAATTTCGATTTCGGAAATTAAATTTCCAAATTTTTTGTCGATTTCGGAAATAACAGGATCCCGCATCCAACACGCAACAACAAAACACAAAACACACTTTTTGGTTCTTTCATCGTTTTAATCGTAATTTATGTAATACATGATTTGGATAAATTTTACAAAAATAGAACCTATATTATATTCTTTTCAAAGATTCTTGCAAATCATCAAAAATAATTGTATTTTAAAAAACGATCAAATTATCCTTTCATTATTTTAAACTTAAATTAGTTTTTATGATTGACTAAAGCAATCATATTTATTCATCATTAAATAAACAAAAAAATAATATTTGAGAGTTATTTCAAAAAAAAAACGCATTGAATTTATTAATTTGTCTCAATTTCAGTATTATAAATTTTTATAATTTCAATATTTTGAAATACACTTTTTAATATTTCAATATTTATGATATTTCAATGTATTAAGTGGTCTCAAATTGAGCTTCTCAAATATAAGTTGGCCTATTCAAATAATAAAATTAAATAATATTTAAAATAATAAATAAAAGTGATTGAGGTCATAGCAAAACGGCTGTTTCAGTCATTAATTCTTAAAAATAAAAAGGGGAAAAACTAAATAAAATGGGGAAAATTCAATAGTGTCTGTGCTATCGTTCAATTTGAAGGTGTCTTTTGAAACCGCAAGACACATTGAATTTTTGAATTCAAATTATGAAATTTCAAAAAATTGATCCTTATCAGCCAGCAATTATTATTATATTGCTTGATCCCTTCTATATCTATTACTTTTAACCATATCTTGTTATTATTTTAAAAATTATCGTTTTTCTCTCAATTTTGAACAGTTTATTCACTCTATTTTTTATTTAGTGTGCACGAATTCAATTTTTGTGAGGAATTCAAAGCCCACAAATTTGAATAGACAAGAATTTTTGAATTGTGGAAAAAATTTTTGAATTGTGGAGAAAAGTCAAATGTATGTAAAAAGAGCGTAGTAGCAATTCTATTATTTTTTTTCTGATTTTTTGTAAAGTTATGATTTTTTTTTCAAAAACGAATTAAGTCATGGATCTGAATTTCGAATACATTGCTGCTCATATCAGCGATTATATTAATAATGAAAACTTCTTCGATACATTTGATATGAGGGATATCAAAATAATCATGAAAAATTCACATTTGACAGCTGATCAGTACGTTACTCTTCTTAAACAATCTTCATCAACTCTCAATTCCAAAGAATTATATATCTGTACAAGGAAGGCAAACGTACGTGTCCAAAATCTCGAAGAAATTGTTTCAATTCTTAACTCTGTAAAAAGATACATGAAATTCAATATATTTGATGGCATTACAGATTTTTTAAAACAGAATGAGAAAGTTATAAACGATTCTACGAACAAAAGAGAAATAATTCAAGATAAATCCAAAGCTTTTCAAAAAGAAAATGAAAATGCAACCAAAGATACTACTGTCAATGTAACTAATGAAAATTACAATCATTCACGAGATATTTTAACTAAAATCACAGAACTTAAGAAATCTAGTGATTTTGAAACAGTTTACAAATTCCTTGATGAACTTTCTTCGACAGGAAACCACGAAATGATTTCAAAATCAGTCGAAGAAGGACTTTGGAAAAAGATTGATCCTAAAAAATATAAATATGATTCTGAGAGGAATGTTCTTCATTTTGCAAGTGAAAACGGAAATCTCAGACTTGTTCAATCACTCATCGAATGTGGTTGTGACAAAGAAGCAAAGGATAATTATGGATCTACTCCACTCATTTATGCATCAGAAAATGGTTATCTTGAAGTTGTTAAATATCTTATCTCTGTTGGAGCTGATAAAGAAGCAAAGGATAAAGATGGATATACTCCACTCATTTTTGCATCAAGATATGGTCATCTTGAATTTGTTAAATATTTTATCTCTGTTGGAGCTGATAAAGAAGCAAAGGATAAAGATGGAAATACTCCACTCATTTATGAATCAAGATATGGTCATCTTGAAGTTGTTAAATATCTTATCTCTGTTGGAGCTGATAAAGAAGCAAAGGATAAAGATGGAAATACTCCACTCATTTATGCATCAGAAAATGGTCATCTTGAAGTTGTTAAATATCTTATCTCTGTTGGAGCTGATAAAGAAGCAAAGGATAATTGTGGATATACTCCACTCATTTTTGCATCAAGATATGGTCGTCTTGAATTTGTTAAATATCTTATCTCTGTTGGAGCTGATAAAGATGCAAAGGATAAAGATGGAAATACTCCACTCATTTATGCATCAAGATATGGTTATCTTGAAGTTGTTCAATATCTTATCTCTAATGGAGCTAATAAAGAAGCAAAGGATAATGATGGACATACTCCACTCATTTGTGCATCATTTAATGATCATCTTGAAGTTGTTCAATATCTTATCTCTGTTGGAGCTGATAAAGATGCAAAGGATAAAGATGGATATACTCCACTCATTTATGCATCAGAAAAAGGTAAACTTGAATTTGTTAAATATCTTATCTCTGTTGGAGCTGATAAAGAAGCAAAGGATAAAGATGGATGGACTCCACTCATTTATGCATCAAGATATGGTTATCTTGAAGTTGTTAAATATCTTATCTCTGTTGGAGCTGATAAAGAAGCAAAGGATAAAGATGGATATACTCCACTCATTTATGCATCAGAAAAAGGTAAACTTGAATTTGTTAAATATCTTATCTCTGTTGGAGCTGATAAAGAAGCAAAGGATAAAGATGGATGTACTCCACTCATTTATGCATCAAGATATGGTCATCTTGAAGTTGTTAAATATCTTATCTCTGTTGGAGCTGATAAAGAAGCAAAGGATAAAGATGGAAATACTCCACTCATTTTTGCATCAAGATATGGTCATCTTGAATTTGTTAAATATCTTATCTCTGTTGGAGCTGATAAAGAAGCAAAGGATAAAGATGGAAATACTCCACTCATTTTTGCATCAAGATATGGTCATCTTGAATTTGTTAAATATCTTATCTCTGTTGGAGCTGATAAAGAAGCAAAGGATAAAGATGGAAATACTCCACTCATTTATGCATCAGAAAATGGTTATCTTGAAGTTGTTAAATATCTTATCTCTGTTGGAGCTGATAAAGAAGCAAAGGATAAAGATGGATATACTCCACTCATTTTTGCATCAAGATATGGTCATCTTGAATTTGTTAAATATCTTATCTCTGTTGGAGCTGATAAAGAAGCAAAGGATAAAGATGGAAATACTCCACTCATTTTTGCATCAGAATATGGTCGTCTTGAAGTTGTTAAATATCTTATCTCTGTTGGAGCTGATAAAGAAGCAAAGGATAAAGATGGATGGACTCCACTCATTTTTGCATCAGATAATGGTCATCTTGAAGTTGTTAAATATCTTATCTCTGTTGGAGCTGATAAAGAAGCAAAGGATAAAGATGGAAATACTCCACTCATTTATGCATCAGAAAATGGTCATCTTGAAGTTGTTAAATATCTTATCTCTAATGGAGCTGATAAAGAAGCAAAGGATAATTATGGATCTACTCCACTCATTTTTGCATCAAGATATGGTCGTCTTGAAGTTGTTAAATATCTTATCTCTGTTGGAGCTGATAAAGATGCAAAGGATAAAGATGGATATACTCCACTCATTTATGCATCAGAAAAAGGTAAACTTGAAGTTGTTAAATATCTTATCTCTGTTGGAGCTGATAAAGAAGCAAAGAATAACTATGGAAAGACTGCTCTTGATTTCGCAAGAGGTTCTGTGAAAAAATACTTTTTGGAAGACAAAACCAAATAGAGAAGAAATTTAGGCAATGATGTATTCAAATGGTAAAGTAAGAGATTATTTAAAAACTATTTGTGCCAATTAACTCAATCATATTCATATCTAAAAATTCACTTTGTCAACTTTTCAATATATTTTTGAAAAAATGAAGGGGAATTCATTTTTTCCCCAATGAATTTCCTTATTTTGTTTTACTTTCAAATCAACTAGTCACATGTTATATCTAGCAAATTCTATTAGCGGGCCGATATATGTTGATAATTATATTTGCCACATTTATGAGATGAAATGGTTTAGTAGTGCCCGCCTATTTGATAACTATAACTAACTAGAAAAGATGTATAGTGTCTCCAAGAGCAAAAATAATGGAGGTTTATAAAATTCATCGCAACAAAAAAAATCCGACGAATTGGATATCATTCATTTAATTGTATGTAGATAAAAAAAGATGAAATTTACAATAAAATTCTAATAAAATAAAACTCTATCTTTTACAACTTACTGTTGGAAATTTGCGATAATTTCCATGTGTTCTTTAATGTATTGAAGTTGTGATTCATTATTATTAGCAATAGTCTTGACAAGTTCTGGGTCTGCGCTGTTAATTGCCTGAGCCAAAAGGACGAGTCGTTCGGATCGATGTATTCGAACAAAGCATCATCGAACCGATGATTGTTGTAGCGAATCTTACTATTGGCTCACCCTGAATAGCGTTAGGATACTTCTGCATGAGGAAAGAGGCGAAATGAGCAGAATATTTAAGTTGGTAGTCGTGGGCACATCCAGGAAGGACATTTATGACAGCTTCCAACTCCTCCATCGAAGGAGATAATTCGTACAATTCTATGAGTGATGCCCAAAGAACTGCAGGGTCGAATTTAGTTGTTTCGTTGATTTCTTCATTCTTTATCATCTCCATTGCCAAATTAACCAATGTATTAGCTCTTGGAGCAACCAATTCCTTATTTGCCCAAACAAGGAAATTAAATGCCTGGAATAAGTTGATTTTAACATCATTGTAGTTGACATCCAAGTCCTTTTCAGCTAATTCGCATATGGAGGACATTAATTCTGTGTTTTCTGGGAAGTATGAAGAGATGAAAGATAAGGTATTAATAGCGCTTGATCTAACGATTGGATTCTTGTCCTTGCATATGTTCTGAAGGTATGGGATTAATGCATCAAGGCATGGGGTTGTAATTGCTTGGCCATCTTCTCCAATTTGGAGGACAATTTCGGAAACTGTTCGACCAAGCTTAACGAAAAGCTCGGTAATTGCGTTCATAATTGGTTTAATGAATATTGGTTCAAGTCTTCCCTTCTCATTCTGTCTGAGATATATAGATTGTGAGCATGAGAGAATTCCAACGATATTTACGAAGATTTTCTGGGCATACTGTGAAGCTATCTCTGCATTGGAAATTCTTATAACGTAGCCAATGCAATCCCAGAGCTTGACGTTAATATCTTGATCATCTTTACTTGCAAAATTCTCGATAACTGTTGTAAATACATCCGAAATGTCCTGGCCATTTTTATTGAGGCCAAAGATAAGGTCTGGAAGGCTGCAATATACATACAATAAAGCCAAAGGGTTTTCGTTGTCATCCAACCCTCTCCAGATATCGATGATTTCATCGGCGTGGTCGGTGAACTGTTGTGGATAGTTTTTGAATATAAGTGAAATTAATTGGAAAGCGTGGCCAGATTTTTCACAGACTTGTGCATAATACTTCTCGTATTTCTCTTCGTCATCATCCTGGTTCATCAAATCCATTCCTTGATCCTCTTCTTCAATAAAATCTTCTTCTTCGTCATTTTCCATTCTTGCAAGCATTCCTGCAATCCTTGTGCCCTCTTCAAAGAATGGCTGTGCGTAATTGGCAATAGAAATTGGGAACAACTGGAATAATTCAATGGCAGTTAATAATGCGCTGTTTATAAGCTCATTATCCTTAACTTTCAAGGCCTCCAAGACTACTTTGACCATGTTCTCGAGGTCTTCAGTAACAGTGGTCGGATCAGCAAGAGCGAAAGCGGCAAATCCTTTTAATGCGCTTCCAATTGCTCCTGTTCCAGAAATAACGAGTTCGTCGATGATTGGCTTGACCGTGGCGTAAAGACCTTCCGGTAGATCCCTCAAATTCTTGATCAAAGAGGAGATTGCAGCGAATGCCAACTCGTGGTGATAAGAAGAGCTAGAAGAGAACTGCTGGAGGAGTATTTCAAGGGACTGTTGTGGGTTTGCAGGTGGTATTTCACTGTAATTGTAGATAGTTGCCAAAATTTGGAGGACATTTTCGTTTTCTGCCATTTGTAGGAAGTATTCCTCGAATTTCTCTTGTATATGGACGGCTATAGATGGTGAATTCTCTACCAGTTCCTTGAGAAAATCAAGAGCGGCGTCGATCAAGTAAGAAATTTCGGATTGTAGGCATGAAACAACGACTGCTTCGAGGTCTGAGTACATTTCGACCACTGTTGTTGGCGAATCTGACGTAATGGCCGTGGAAATCATGAGAAGAACGAGAAATGATTGTTCATCTTGAGCTGTGAAGAGAGAACTGAAGATTGGCATAAGGAACTGGATACTGTTATGCATAATATATTCAATGGCTTTAACAGCTTCGATAAAGAAGAGGGAAGTGTCTTTATATCCTCCTTCATCTTGATTTTCTTGGGCCAATTCAAGAGAGAAGTTCACGACTGCTTGAATGATCTCTTCAAGTCCTTCTCCGAGGTTTTCTGGCTGCATATTGATGAAAATTGTCAAAATTTGGACTGAATTTCGTCTGATTTCAATTGGAATGTCTGTGTCCTGTATATAAGCGCACACTTTGAATACAAGTGGAAGTAGTGGCTCTTGGGCATCGAAACACTCTTCAATGCATGTATAAAGGTTATTAAAGTAAGAAGTGGCTTCTTGGACACTCTGCTTGATCTCAAAGTCTGCAACATTGATGACCATGGTGCAGATATTGTTTAAAGTCTCGCCATCGATCTCAAGAAATTCTATTAAATTATGAATGGAAGTAATGACGAATTCAAGAGATGAAATGCGTACATCAGATGACTCACCTTGAAAAGCATGAAATGCAATCGGAAGAAGAGTTTCCATGATGTAGCTGCCATAATTTTCGTAAATAACTGGGAAACAGATGAGATCTTTCCATAAGTAGAAAACACCTGGAAGAGCATTGGAATTTCCAATCATTTCCGTTAAATTCTGTGCTAACAGTAGGTAAATTTCGCTCTGAACTTCTTCATCATAAGAACTTGTTAAAATAAAGTTGCCAATACGATCGATTATCGTATATTGATACTTTACATCTGGGGCTATTGGAATTAAACTTAATAATTGGTCAATAAGGCCAGAATTGTATGGATCTGGATATTTTTTATTTTGTTTAGTCATAGCAGTAATACCTGTATAAGCAAGCTTCTTTACGTTAAGATCATTAGTGTTTTTCGCAAGATGAATCATAATTTCAATATTGGAAGGATTTTTGTAGATTTGAAGCAATTGCTGATGTGTGGCTTCATCAGGTTTACCTTGAGTGTAAAAATTTCTATAAAGCTGCTGAAGTTGCTCTGCAGCTGCGGCAATTTCAGACATTTTAGCTTTGGACCTCGAATTTGAGAGGAAAATAATCAATGTATTTGTAGTAGTATATGAGTGCGGGTTGTGTGACTTTTTTTGTTGCATCTATATATAGACGATGCATTAAAATATATTTATTTATAAATCATTAAAAAATTAACATTAATTTTAAAATAATTTATTTTTTTATCTTTTATAAAAGAAGCTATATATAGATGATGTCAGATATTCCGCGATTAATTAAACATTGTTTAAATCCTGAATGGGTTAAACTTCAATTTAAAAATGAAGATTGTGAATTATTAAATGAATATGAAAGCCAAAATAAGCTAATGAGGTATAAATATAATGATAAAGAATATTTAATTTCATGGAATCAATGGAGTCATAATCAAAGACCTCATAAACGAGAAGAAGAAATTGAAAATAATGAAATGGAAATCATTGATGACATTAAAGAGGATGGAATTCCTAAATTTTGTAGAAAAACCTTTAGAACTAAGTTAGGAGCATATAAACGTAGAGTATTAAATCCTGAATATCTTAAACATCAATTTAAAAAGGAAGACTGTGAATTATTAAACGTTAATGAATATGAAAATGCTAAATCAAAACTGAGATATAAATATATTGGAAGTGATGAAAGGTGTAAAGATAAAGATAAAGTTTATTCAGTTTCATATAATAACTGGCACACGTTGGGGATAAGAAAACATTTAGGAGATTATGGTAAAAGTTCTGAATTCTTCAAATCTAGTATGTATGAGAGAGTAAAAGAAATCAGATATAATTATCATTCAAGAATGAAAAATAAACTTTAAAAATTCATGTCTTACATTTTTTGAATAATTTATTTTTTTAATTCGTATGAAAATGAGTGGATCAAGATTCGTAACCGTCAATCAATTAATGGATGTTCTTTCACCAATTCTTGAAAATGTTAAACAAGTAGATGTTTATTTCGATGATTATGTAGAAAGTATATATTATAAAGGTAAGTTTAATATTAAACCTATTGCTTTTGCATTTGATAATAAATTAATTGAAAATGCAAAAATTTGGGAATTAATTCCAGATATTGAATTTATAACAAATATTAATGATAAATGGTTTAAACGAATTCCAACCACAAAAGTTCTTTGTAAATTAATGATCAAAACTGAGGAAAAAGAATTTAACGGGTTTAAATATCATCCAAATAAAGTTTCAGAACTAGAAAATGAAAAACTTCAGAAAAAATTAAACGATAGACTTTCAAATGATCGTATTGAAAAAATAAATAAACTAGCAGAAGTTGCATTTAATAATGAAATATTTGATGAATATAACCTTGAACTCAGTGATGGACTTTAAGTCCTGGGCTTTAAGGACCCAGGCTCAACGAGTCATGATTTATGAAATCAATTATTTGATTCATTCTTTCTTCAATAATTTCTATTCTTTTTGTTAAATCATCTATTTTCATTAATGAGGTGATTCTTGATTGAGGAATAGATTTTAAACTAACAACACCTTTTATTTTTGAAATTTTGAATCCATGACCCTCTGGGTCTTGGACTCTGTCCTCAACTTTAAACATTTTATTCAATTTACATGTTGTCAATTCTTCAAATAATTTTTTATTATTAGCATAATAGTCATTAAATTCTTCAACAGATGAAAAAATTTTTGTTTCAGTAATTGGTTTAACAACGTTTATTTTTTGTTGAACATTTTCACTTTCATTTATTTCTTCCTCCTTTGTTTCATTTATTTTTAAAATCGGTTTCATTTATCATTAAATAAAAATTAGAATATAAGTGATGAAATATATTTTTTAATTAATATTAAATCAGAAATGGCGGCAGGATTCTTTAAAAAATTATGGGAAGGAATTAAGAAAGCTGCAGGTTGGGTTTATAAAAAGGTTATTAAACCTGTTGCAAACTTTTTGGCACCAGTAGCGAAAACGGCAGGAACTATCATAGGTGGAGTATTAGGTACAAAAGCAGGTAATCCGGCAATGGGAGCACAAGCAGGTAACGCAATTGGTGGAATTGCTGAAGGAATACTTAATAAAATAGGGGGTAAATAGTGGAAAAATAAATATTATTTTTATCTTAGTATTGGTTGTAGTCTTTGATAAACTTTTTCTCCTTTATTTAAAATTTCTCTTATTGGGGCAGCTTTTGGCGTTATTGATTCAGCAACGTCACTAATTGCTTCTTTATTCTTAAATATCCAATTTGCTCCTTTCTTCATTGTTTCCCAAACTTTATGCGCTCCTCTTTTTACTTTATCCCACAGTTTCTTAAAGAATCCTGCAGCCATAGTTGATTATTTCATTAAAATTAAAAATTCATTTTCATCTTTTAATTTTGATTTTTTATTTATTAATAAATGACGACTAACTATTTAGTGCCAAACACTAAACCGATTAATGGAAATGTGTTTCATTCATTCGAAAAGATAAATGAAATATTTGCAAAGAATGATGGTAGAAGATATTATAGAGAACTTGAAAGTTCATGCTATGACTCTGATGCTCCATATTTTGATGATAAACAAACTCATTTAAGAATTACAAATCCGGCTCATGATGTGAACCAATTAGGTGACACATATATTAAACGCAAAGTTAAAGCAACTCTAGTTTCAAATAAAGCTTTCACATGTGATGCCGCTTTTAAATGTATGCGTTTATTCGTTGGTTATAAATCATCAAATCAAAGCTTTAAACAATTAGAAGTAGAAACCGAAAGAGGTGATGCCGGTTATCTTCAGATGGATTGCGCCCGTGAATCTTTCGCATTTGCAACATATAAACCAAAATCAGAAAGGAAAGTTAAAAAGTTTGTTCATTCGTTATATAATAATGTTCAAAAATATGATAACTCAGTATGTGGTAAATATATTGACCCTTCAGAAGTTTTCAAGAAAGCAAATGAAGAAGTTGATGTCACGTTTGATATGATTATTCCGGTAAATGATTTGTTAGCATTTCAGGCGTTCGATGATTATCCTAAATCATTTGGTGATATCATTCTTAAATATTATGTTTTCAGGGATACTTTAGTATTTTGTCAGGTTGACCCGTTAAGAGTTGCTGATTTACAAAATTACGTTTATGAAAAGATAACTGATGAAAATTATGAAAAGATTATGAATCATGTTTATAAATATGATCGCAAATTCCAACAAATCGGACTTCCTGCCAAATTAATTACAAGCTTAGCCGATGCATCTGCTAACGCAACAGTTGATGACGTTATTATTTCATGCACAAAGATGGAAGTTTTAGAGGATAAATGCATTACACCAGGATACGGTTTAATTGAAGAATCAGTTAAAGCAATACCACGTTTATTCAGTAAGGAAGATCCATTCATGATTCCAGCTCAACATATTGACGTTCGTTCACTAAATGGAGGTTGCATCACTCCTGAAGGTATCAGCTCAGATTTCTCATACGCTCTTCATAATGTTACAGATGTTGTGTTAACATTTCCGAAGAATGCAATGCAAAGAACAGTTTTAGAAAATCCAATGCTTCGAGGTCTTCAGGTCACTATAGATTCCAGAAACTTCCCCGATCAAGCGATGACCACAGTGGGTGACATATTCTTTACACGTATGCTTCAAGCTTCTGATTTAGATGGAGTGAATGAATGCACTGAAGAATACGAGGACTCATTAACTAGACCACTGAATGATGATGATGGCGTGCCATTAGCTAGAACATGGAAAGACCAAACTTCATTCTTATGCACTATTCCAGTTCAACGTGATGGAGCAGGTATATTCTTTGATGGATTAGAAACTTTCAATTCACAAGTTACAGTACAAGTGAAAGCTTATCCAATCATTCAGGGTGTAAATGACACTTACTGTTCAAAGGTGACAAATCCTCCTCAGGTTTGGTTTACTAGGACTACATATTGGACATGGACACCGGATGAAGGTTTGAAATATCATCCAACAGGTACACCACCGCAGTATAGAAGTTCATATGATGAAATATTGATGAATAGAAATGTATAAAATTATAAATTTATTTTTGATTAAATGGATTTAAATTCATCCACCCTTATGAAGAATTAGCAGGAGTATATAATACATACGTAGATGATATGATTAATGAAGCATTGAGTGATAATAGAAATGCTCTATCTAAGGAAAAATTAATGAAAATTCCATATTCTGAATGTTACTTAAATTCAATCACTGCAGCAATTGGTAAAACAATAAAGGTAAACATTAACGATATTAAAACAAATTATCATTATTGCTAACACTTCACCCTATTCACATGTGTTAATTTATATCAACCGTTCAGGTTCACCTTCAGATGATACATTTGAATCTTTAAAGCATTTAATCAAAATTCCAATTATTTATTTATCACAAGAAGAAGCAGAAGATTATTTAAAAAACTTTTAATGTATAAAGAATTATATAATACAATCAAGAAGCAAGGATTAGAGGATAAAATTATTGATAAACAACGGATGAATTATTTGAAACACTTTCTATTTCAAATTTTGATAGAGAATTTTTGCATTCACTCATTTTTCTAGATGATGCAGTGAAATCAAAACTAATAACAAATGAGAAATCATATTTTAATCAGTTATTAACTCAATGTCGACACATTCAGTGTTCATTCTTCATGGCTGTTCAATACTTCAAAGCATTAAGCACAAACATTAAATCAAATCTATCAACCCTTTTCATTTTCAGTGGTTTTAGTCGTCAACAGTTGAACGTTATGCTTTATCAAGTGAATTTACCAATGAGCATTAATGAACTTTACACACAATATCAGCAATTAGGAGAACATGGAAAAATAATAGTTGATTTAAATAAAGGTTCCATTAAATTCGAATAACTTTTTATAATTAATTTTTATTTTTTATTTATAATTAAACATGACAGAAATAGCAAATCTTCTACAGGTTCATTAAAAAGGAACAAACAAAAAGGGTGTAATAATAGAACTATGAAAGTTCCAGACGGAATGAAAGAATTAGTCCACA